TCAAGCTGAGTGGTGTGCATCGGAAATGAAGGCAGGTTTACTTTATGTACAATTGAACATACTTTAAATGAAACATAACATAAGCAAGAACAAACACAAATCTGATCTTCCAACTTTTATTGATCACTTTTCTCTTATTTGTAACTAGGTGTTTGGGAATATTTCTTTTTAGGTCATAGGGTACAAAGTGTCTTGGAAAATTGTTTGATAGGCACTACTTATAAGTTGACGGATGACAAAGTAGACACAATTTATGGATAACAACTTCTTTTATTACTGTAAAGACGATGTTTCGGTATAGATCCTCATACCATTGTCAAGCAAGACCAGTCTATTTTGTGTCTTGGAAACTTCGAAGTTCGTGCAAAGTTATTGGCAGTTACTTCAAATCAATTGAAAGTGTACATCAGGTTTTAACTGATAGAAGCAGAAGGCAAAAGGTTCAGACGACGATATATTCATGTATTGATATACAGTAAGACCTTTCGATTGTTTCCTAGATCATCTTCTGAAAGAGATGTGACTTTTATGGCCATGTCGATAAACCAGTTTTATGATGCGATTATTGAATGACAGAGCAGCAGATGTTGTCATTGGTCACCTCCTGGACAGCATCCTTCTGAGGCTGTGACAAGACGTGTTGAACAGATCGGGACACCTCAGATGAAGCATTGGAAAGATACATAGTTCATATTTGTTAGGAATATCGTGGAGTTTCGCTGACGATGCCTAAGTATTACAGTAGCATGCTGATACTGTCAAAGTCACAGCCTTCTCTGGCAAAGCCAGGTTTGTAAATCACTTTCTTGTAAGAGAGTTTGGAAACAACGCCCTTTTCGTCAAAGCAATTCTGGGATATAAGTTGCTAAGTCAGTGTTAAAGCGTAGGATTTATTACAGTTGTATAACTTTGATTTTTAGGTGACCGTCGTAAGACTGTATTAAAGAATGGACTTTCCAGTAGTTGCAAGATAGTATTTTGTACAGTGATATGTCTATGTAAAGCATTAAGTATAGGGAGATCAGTGGTTCAGTCGGTGGTCAGAGTGTTTACCCTTGTACATCAGTAGAGTGGATAATTGCTCATGCTTTTAATTAACCAGCCATAAAAGACATTCACTCATATTATAGTTGAGCAACCACAGAAATAATGCTGCATTATAGTGTTTACAGGTTGTAGCAGGATCACGAGGGGTACATGGGGTTTTATGCATCCCACGTCACGTGTTATACCACAAGCCGCTTGCGACGGGGAATAGGAGATTTATTCCCCTCCAAGGCAGGTTACACAGTATTTTATCAAGATCACGTGAACCAATCAGATCTCATCATTCTGACACAGAGGTAACAAGTTATCCATTAAGTGTTATATTTTGCAAGAAACAACATTGAAGTTATACACACACACACACACACACACACACACACACACACACACACACACACACACACACACACACACACTCACACAGATATAAATATATATTCCATAAAACAACATTAAACTTATATATTACATATATTTATTAAGAGTTCTATTTTGCAAGAAATTAAACCTTGTAACCATTGGTTAGATGCATTTTTCCAATTAGGTATGACTGTCATAAGTCTATGTTAAGGTATGGGAGTTACAATCACCGTAGCGCTAAGATCACTTTGTGCAATGGCACACAGGTAGTAACCTATTAGCAAAAAGGTTATGCTTGAAATGGTATGAAGACACGCTGAACTGCACATGTGCAGTGATCTCAAAAAGCATTAAATCTTTCCTAGGGGTAACTACAATAGCACACGAGAACAGAACAGTTTGTGACTGTTAACATTGGTATCCTTATAAGCATTTCATTTATCTTTCAGAGAGTATGTTTATTGGAATGAATACAGTACACCAAGTTGCCAGATTTAAGACTTTTCTCTCTGTCATTTGAACAGTTTTCTATTTTCTTTAGACTTACATCTAGTCTCAGAAATGAACATATTTTACAGAAAAAAACAGTTGTTGAATTATAGTTATAAAAAATAATCAAAAGGAGCCCAGAGACTTTCTTCATGTTCAGATACTGCAGTATTCTAGACTTGCCAAACATTATAGACTTGCATGGGCTGTATTGAATATATTGGTTTCATGGTCTGTATGACAGACTACATTTTCCATTTCATTCTGGAATATGAAATATAATGTTTTACAGTAGAATGAATCACAACTGATATTATCAGCAGCACTTCCCCCACTTAACACTTACACTTAGAGGTGGAGCATGTTATGAACACATAATAAGCCAGCTTTTTGATATACCTTTGAAGGAGATCAATATCTGTATCTACCGGTCTGCTAACCAGTCACACACTGAACACAGAGCACCTTTCAGTGGCACGCCGATCAGCTCTTCCTGTCCTTTCATTGTGTGGACCCACTCATTCAAACATTCAGGTTCAATTTTCCCACAAACAAGACAAAGTCGGGTGGTTGTGACATGACTCATTGGTTGTTCATTCTATGCTGACTAAAAGCTTCTATAACGCTTCATTCATACAGGTGCATTTGTATATCAGGGAGGTCAGAATGATAGTGAAATGCGTTGAAAAAAGCGAGCGTGTGGTTACATTTACATTGTGTGTTACATTTGTTATTTCACACTGATTGGTTTGTCATGTGAGGAACATTCTGTAATGTCGTAACTTATGCTGACATACCTGGTGTAAGGTTTTAAGGAATAAAATGGATGAGTGTTTTGGGAACAGCTTGGATGATATTACAGGTAGGTATATGTGTTTATACATGTCACTTGTCCAATCTTGAGAAATACTGTTACTTGCAGGGAGATATGGGGTTTACTAATTGAGAGATATTGTTTACACAGGGAGATATTGTGTTTACTCACTGAGAGATATTGTGTTTACATACTGAGAGATATGGGGTTCACACTCTAAGAAATATGGGGTTTAGTCACTGAGAGAAATGGGGTTTATATACTGAGAGACATGGGGTTTACACTGAGAGATATTGGGTTTACACACTGAGCGATATGGGGTTTACACACACTGAGAGATAGGGTTTAGTCACTGAGAGATATGGGGTTTAGTCCCTGAGAGATATGGGGTTTACACACTGAGAGATATAGGGTTTAGTCCCTGAGAGATATGGGGTTTACACACTGAGAGATATAGGGTTTAGTCACTGAGAGATATGGGGTTTACACACTGAGAGATATGGGGTTTAGTCACTGTGAGATATCGGGTTTAGTCACTGAGAGATATGGGGTTTAGTCACAGAGAGATATGGGATTTACTAGAAGTAGACTTTCGTTCCTTTCAAGGGCCTGTCATCATGGCTCCAGTACAATTACAATACTGTCCCGGTGTACAGCAACATATCGCAATGTTCACTGGAAAAACATATTGTATTTGTAATTTTACAAAGGGTGTTCCCAGGCCCCCTGATGTTTGCCAAGCTGAGTAATGACAGCTGTTAATACAACAAGCAGTGATGCATACCGTCAATGTTACCAGTTATTGATGTCATTGAAGCAAAAAAAAACGTCCCGCAGATAATACATGACACGATAGTGTGCAGTTATGAGGCTGCCATTTTGTAGAACAACACAGGTATCAGCATGTGGGTATTGATCTAAGACCAATTATGCAGATATATTCTTACGAATCTGAGTATCGGCAAGTATGAGATTGTTTTCTTGTACACGATACATTTACATTATGGGCATTTGGTGCTGTTTGAAGAAGAAAATACTTACAAAAAGAAGGTTTATATACCCTCCAACAACAGACTGATTGTTCAGCCAGGATATATTCAACTAAGCATTTTTACGCTAAATGTGTTTACGTTGTATTAAAGGTGGATTACGCTTGACGAAATAGACAGTCCAAGCAAATTTGATTCGAGTCATTCAAAAAACTACAATGTTCTTTGTTAATTTATGTGCTGTGATGCACAACAGTAGAATAATTAATGATTACCGGGTACCATTATTATGTACAGACAATATCCCTGTTTCACACATTGCACTGATTGCAGCATCTAGGCCTATACTAAAGTGGGCAGCAGACATTGCAGCATGGTCTTTCTGTAAACACACTGTGAGTCTGTTGTCAAATGATGGTTTGTTTGGGGTGTGCAATTTGATATTCAGATGGCGGGAAGGACATTTTTTGTGTATGCAAGTGCACCAAAAAGATACGACCCTTGTCATATTGGAACTTTGGGTCCTCGTTTTCTCATTCTTGTCACAAGAGACAGCTTATATGGAGACCTGAAGGTCAAGCTCTGCTACTTAGCTGACTGTGTGCCAGTGGACTGCCATGATGTTATTAAGCACAGTTATTCCAAATTATATGAATTTATTTTGAAGCAGTTATATTTGCATTTCACTTAAATTTGAAGCAGTTGAAAAATGAAATACAAAAACACTCAAAGGAGGTTTGAGTACCTTCCTACAACAGCCTGACTGATTGGTCAGCAGGGAGGATTTAACATTTTGTATATTTGTTTTTTGTTTAATGTCGCACTGAGCAATATTCCAGCTATGTGACAGCATTCTGTAAATAATCGAGTCTGGACCAGACAATCTAGTGATTGACATCATGAGCATCGAACCACGCAATTGGGATACAATAACATGCATCAACCAAATCAGTGAGTCTGACCAACCGATCCCATAGTCACCTATTACGACAAGCTTAGTCGCCTTTTACTCAAGCATTGGTTGCTGAAGACCTATTCTACCCCGGATCTTCATAGGTATGCTAGTCGTAGGAGTTGACTGAATTGAGGATCAGAGTCAGGCTCTTTCATTTAGATTGTGTGACATTATGCCATCATGGCGTTGATCGTTTGTCATGGTTTCAGTCACTGGTATACCTGGTCTATATATAGGCTGCCATGAAGTATCAAGTACATTGCTGACTTCAGCGTTAATAACGTCCATTCATCCACTGATGGTTTAGAAACTTGGTAACCTTGGTAACCTTGGCTTGGTGTTTCAGATGGTCTTCTCAGTCAGGAGCAGGAGGACCTGGTTGACCGAGTGGCCTACCTGGAGAAGAAGGTCACGCAACAGGGAGATGAGATCGTCTGTCTCAAGAGTGCCCTCGCTGATGTCATACGTAGAATCACTCAGTTGGAGTCAGGTAAGTTGATCAATTCAGCAATGAAGTTACCTGTGTGTTTATTAGTCCCTTTGTGTTCATAAGTCCTCGTTGGAGTCACACAAGTTGATGAACTCGTCTATCTCAAGATGCTTTGTCAAAGTTATCTGCAGACTTAATAAGTTCTAGTCTGGTAGATTGATGAAGTTGTCTCTTTAGAAGTACCCATGCTAAAGTCAGTCTGGCCTAAATTATCTTTAAGGTGTATTTAGATCAAAGGGAGACAACTCCTAACATCTAATTCTTGCAGTGAAGACTAAAAACACTGGGCCATAAAATACAGCAAACTAGTCAAAGGGAGATAACTCTTGCTCACCTGTTCATTTCAGCTCCCCCAAACCACATTCTACCGTCAAAGCCAACATTCAGATCACCTCGGAAATCTGCATCACATGAGAGGAAGAGTCACCTGAATCCCCTGGAGAATGTGAACCTCATCTCACATCGAAGTACAACCCCACCACAATCACGATCCTACCACTCATCCAGGAACTCAACCCCTCTCAAGAAATGGTCCTCTTTGTCAAACTCAGCAGATCTTTCCAATTCACAAATAACTCCAAACAAGTAAGTCGTTTCTCTGATGTCTCTCAATGTTATGCAAGGGAACAAGTAAAGTCGACTGGTACATGTGTTTACTCTACCCATAGTCAGCCTGGGTCAAACATCCGGACCATCTTGATGTTCTTTGCAGTGATTTTGATGGAATAACTGCCAAGAACAACTCAATTACCTCTTGTTGTAGATGTTGCACTGGCGTTGAAGTCTTTTGAATTATTCTCCTTTGTGTTTCTGCACTAGGCCGTAATAAATGAATTATTAGGTTTTAGTCCCCACCTCCCTTACTATCAAACCATATTTCATTGTGCCCAGGTTCTTACAGACCCGTGAAGATCCCGGGTAGAATAGTTCTTCAGCACCCCATTCTTGCCGTTAAAGGTGACTATCAGACTCGCTGACTTGGTTGATGCATGTCATCATATCCCAATTGCGTGGATCGATGCTCATGATGTCAATCACTGGATTGTCTGGTCCAGACTCCATTATTTACAGACTGCATTCATATAGCTGGAATATTGCTGTGTGCGGCATTAAACAAAAATTGGTATCCTTATAAGCATTTCATTTATCTTTTTATTGATTGTGTTTATTGGAATGAATACAGTACACCAAAGTTGCCAGATTTAAGACTTTTCTCTCTGTCATTTGAACAGTTTTCTATTTTCTTTAGACTTACATCTAGTCTCAGAAATGAACATATTTTACAGAAAAAAACAGTTGTTGAATTATAGTTATAAAAAATAATCAAAAGGAGCCCAGAGACTTTCTTCATGTTCAGATACTGCGGTATTCTAGACTTGCCAAACATTATAGACTTGCATGGGCTCCTCCTAGAAAATTATTGTGTTCCCCTTCTTTCCTACCTTGATCATCCAACCTTAACATTCACGCTTCACATGAATCACACCCATCAACAGTTAATGTCCACAGATGCCTTAAAGAGTTTGTTAAAAAAGTAAGACAAACAAATAAAATGACACCTGCCTCATATTTAATTATTTTTTTATGAAAATCTAATAATTGATTTATTGTGGCCTTAATGAAGTCTTACAGTTCTATTTACCCTGATGGCATATTGATAAATGTTGTAGGCTTTTGAAAGCATGCTACTTGTTCTACTGCATCATTGTATATGTGATGGTCTGACTTTTCTCATGTTAAAGAGACCGAGGTTTCCTAATATTTTGAAGTAATCTTTGCAAATCTTAAAGAAAACTAACTAAATCAGAATATTACAAACATTTCCAAATTCATGTGTGTATGTTGATGTGATCATGTAAATTGATCTCATTTCATTTCAATTTCCAAGCAAATATGGATGTACCAAGTGATTACATACACACATCATTTTAATAATTCTGGAAGCCTTTAGACCTTTAAATCTGTTGTTACTCCAATGAAAGCTATGTTGTAACAAATTGCAGCAATATTGTAGCCATTAACGGATAACAGCAGTGTTGTCATATCTAACAGAGAACAGCGACATTGTCATTGGTTATGCATGACAGCAATGTTGTTATCAGTTATAGATGACAGCAGTTTTGTCATCTGTCCTGGGTAACAGCAATGTTGTCATCAGTTACGGGTGACAGCAATGTTGTCATCAGTTACGGGTGACAGCAATGTTGTCATCAGTTACGGGTGACAGCAATGTTGTCATCAGTTACGGGTGACAGCAATGTTGTCATCAGTTACGGGTGACAACAATGTTGTCATCAGTTACGGGTGACAGCAATGTCGCCAGTGACAGACAACAGTAACAAGATTCAGTTGACCCTGATTGCTGCTTTGCACTCTGTATAATCTGTTCAATGTCACTCTCTGTGTTTTTGACTTTGCCTCATAATGCACACTTTGATTACAGGAGGCAGCTTCAAGCAAATGGTGACAGGTACATGCTTGTTGCACCTACATGCTTACATAGGAATGTGGGGGGCATCTCATAACTTCTCAGACTATTTTCAAATCATTATTCATTTAAATGATATAAAATCCAGCGTGGTTTAGGAAATAGTTGAGATTGTAATTAGATCATATCCTTTCTATAGAATGTTACTGTACTTGGGACTTGAAGTATTTTCGTTTCAATAAATGTCTACATTGTGATATTGCTTTACAAAGTCAGGTCTGTGACTGGTCTGAAATGTGAGTCATGGGATGATGTATAGACTTTTGTGAAATAAAATAGCTAACAATAGTCCCTATTTTTTTAATCAAATCGACTGAAAATGATGTGAAAAAAGGTCAGGATAGCAAGAATTGGTAATCATAGATATTTTAATGAAACATGCCCACTTTTACTGTCAAAAGCTGAATATTGGTTGTGGTATTTTGAGCTGTTATGATTTGCTGCCATCCTGCCTCACCTGTTATAAGCACTGTTCAGATGTCGTCCATGGATAGGCACCATGGTCTGGGTGCAATGTTACAAAATGTGCTTCGTCAGCGTTCTGTGTTGTCAAATTTGTAAAAGCAATCATTGTCTTTAATATACTTGATCATGTTCTCTCAAAATACTCTGAATCCTAAAGTTGTTGATCATTTTAACAGAAAAGTTATAACAGACATTCCTTGAAATTACACTTTTGACCTGGCTGATTATGTGTTATCATACCCATATCATACCCTTATCATACCTGTATCATATCATATCATACCTGTATCATACCCGTATCATACCTGTATCATACCCATATCATACCTGTACCATACCTGTATCATACCTTTTCATACTCATATCATACCTTTATCATACCTTTATCATACCCATATCATACCTGTATCATACCTGTATCATACCTGTATCATACCCGTATCATACCCGTATCGGGGGCACGGGTGGCCCAGTCGTCTAAGGTGCCGCGATTCGCTGTACAGAGTTGCGTCCCTTGGGCACGCCAGAAACCTGGGTTTGCCTCAATTATGTTTCTAGGTTTGTCAGCACCATACCCGTGCTCGTGGGTTTCACTGAAATGGTAAACATCTTAGACCTGCATCACTTCGGGCTTTCCTCCCACATGTAGCTGACACGCCGTGACATAACTGGAATAATGTTAAAAGCGACGTTAAACCCAACTCACTCACTCACTCATACCCGTATCATACCTGTATCCTACTCGGTTGTGTCTCAACCACTGCTTTTCCTGTCAGTTCCTGAAGGCTACAGTCCAATACCTGTAGTGATGGAACACTTAATGACAGTCATTGCCTGTTAACAAAACTTTAGTTAGCAAAATAGTGGTCTATGGCATGAGAAACAATCCATTGATGAACACACATTTAGCCAGGTCATACATCATGACCACCAGAACCATATTATTATAAGAAGTATGAGCCACTGAGGCATGTTCTGTCCCAGAAACCTCATTCATTAACTGCCTGTGAAGATAGAATAGGTCTTCAGCAACCCATCCGTGCCGTGAAAGGCGACTAACGGGATCCGGTGGCCAGGCGGCCAGGCTCGCTGACTTGGTTGATGCACGGACGTATATTCTATATACGTCTTTGGTTGATGCATGTCATCGTATCCAAATTGCATGGATCTATGCTCATGATATCAATCACTGGATTGTCAGGTCCAGACTTGATTATTTATAGACCGCCTTCATATACCTGGAATATTGCTGAGTGCGGCGTTAAACAACAAACCAACCAACCATCATTCATTGACATGTTATGTAATGCTAACATAGAAAAATCGCGTTGATGATAAATCACCATATTCGATATGGGATATAAAATGTATGCACCAAATGCTAACTGAGCACATTTTGAATGTGGTGTTGTGGAGGATGAGATGGTACAACAGCTACAGTAATGGCGTCACAAACACAATCACACTGCATGCAGGAGATGGTTAACACTGATTTCATGATGAAATATTTGACTTATGCTGTTAATGCATGTCTATACTGTTATTTCAACACTAAGAATTATGGTGACAATTAATTTTAGCTCATGTGATCCAAAGGATACAAACTTTGAAACCCTTCTTCGGATTTCCCCCATGGTAATATTACTGGAAAATTTCAATATAAATAATAGCAACATAAAACCATACTCCCTCACTCACTCATGACTTTATTTAGGAGATAAACCTACTGTGCTTTTCAATTTAAAGTCATTTTGTGTTTTGGCAGTGTGATACATTAGTTCATGAACCATGATCTGATACAAACATGTGTCAATACTTGAAACGTTTACTACCAATATGATATGTTCTACAACAAGAATAACACTAGCAACATAATACATACAGAAAAGATCAATTAATTCTCACTGTGTTTGACATTGATATCAAGGCCTCTGAAGTCCTGCAAAACATGACAGGCAACCAGGAAACAATAATTATAATCGGATAAATATTTGATTACCTTTTGCCATGAACATAATATGAAAAACATGAATTAGACTCCATGTTTATGCGAGGGTCAATGGAGTTGTGCCAGAAACTTATATTATGTTGTGCAGTAGATCTGTCTATGTCTCGTGTATTCCGAGTTGTGGATATGTATTTACTGAAACCGCATCAGTTTCTATTTCAGTAAATAAAGCCATTTGATCTGTGATTATATCATAAACTTTAATATAGGATTTGATGCTTGATAAAATGTTAAGTTAGTTTGTTTTTTGTCTTTTTGACTTAGGAAATTGAACATGATGCCATGTGCAAATGTATTTTAAGTGTTACATCAGAATGAGAATTATGCCTTACATACATTGGAATGAGAAATACTCATTAAAATGAGAGTTATGCATTGGAATGTGAAATTGATTAGGATGAGAATATAATTTAGAATGATAGTTATTGATAAAACAAGAATTATAAGTATGAGAACTGTACTTCGGAATGAGAATTGTAAAAGTGGATGACAGTAATTCATTGGAATCACAATTCTACATAAAGATGAGAATTTCTACATAAGGATGACAATACATTGCAATGAAATTCTACATAAGGATAAGATTTATACATAAAGATGACAATACATTGGAATAAAATTCTACATAAGGATGACAATAAATTGGAATTAAATTCTACATAAGGATGAGATTTATACATAAAGATGACAATACATTGGAATAAAATTCTATATAAGGATGAAAGTTATGCATAAGGATGACAATACATTGGACTAAAATTCTACATAAGGATGAGATTTATACATAAGGATGACAATACATTGCAATGAAATTCTACAGAAGGATGAGATTTATACACAAGGATGACAATACATTGCAATAAAATTCTACATAAAGATGAGATATATACATAAGGATGACAATACATTGGAATAAAATTCTACATAAGGATGAGATTTATACATAAGGATGACAATACTTTGCAATAAAATTCTACATAAGGATGAGATTTATACATAAGGTTGACAATACATTGGAATAAAATTCTACATAAGGATGAGATTTATACATAAGGATGACAATACATTGCAATGAAATTCTACATAAGGATGAGATTTATACATAAGGATGACAATACATTGCAATGAAATTCTACATAAGGATGAGGTTTATACATAAAGATGACGATACGTTGCAATGAAATTCTACATAAGGATGAGATTTATACACAAGGATGACAATACATTAGAATTATATTCTACATAAAGATGGGAATACATTGGGATGAGAATTTTGCAAAAGTATGACAATACATGTACATTGAAATGAAAATTCTACATAAGGATGAGAATTCTACATAAGGATGGGAATACATTGGAATGACAATTATTTTTTAGGATGACAATTATACGTAAGGATGACAATTATACATAAGGATGACAATTAAAGATAAGGATGAGAATTATACATAAGAACCAGCAGAGAGCAACCTAAACTTTGGAATATGTATACACATTAAATACAAATTACAGGCAAGACTTAATCACCAGTTTTCATCCGGATGATTAAGACCCACCACATTTTCAATGGAGAAAATCAAGTCTGTGTCTGTGTGATTTTCTGTGTTTGGTTCAATTGAAAATGTGGTGGGTTGTAATCATTGTGATGCCAATTATTGGCATTTGTGTATTGTTTGTAATTTGTGTGGCTATTTCTGTTTAAAATATGTACATATTTATTTGATTCTCCAACTTTGCTGTTCCATCTGTGTTCCTCGCTGGTTGGGGTGGTCGGGTAGCCTAGTGGTTAAAGCGTTCACATTTCATGCTGATCACCCGAGTTCGATTCCCCACATGGGCAATATGTGTGAAGCCTATTTCAGGTGTTCCCTGCCACGATATTGCTGGAATATTGCTAAAAGCAGCATAAGACCAAACTCACTCACTCCTTCCTCGTTGGCGGCTAATGCTACATGTATGTTGGTAATATATGCGATGACAGAGCATGTATACCATTCTTATTACAAATGGCTGTTGCTAATCATTTATGGCAGGAAAAAACCCACTTGGTAGTCTCTCATTAGAGACCATTAGCTAAATACTCAGCTGGGCGATGAGTGATATTTCAGTGATGTCGAAGATAATTGATATGGATTCCCATCAGAAATAGATGCACATATTTGTCCATTTCATACTTGTATATTCAGTTGTGACAATGGTGTAATTCCAGAGTAGTGAGAAATTCAATAAAAACAGAATTATCGTTTAGTGCTTATTCATCAGATTTTTTGCATTGTGTAGCATTTAAAAATAAGAATTATTGCAATACATGTATTGCAATTTTGTGCCTGCAAATGAATTATTATGATCAATTGATAAGTCAGTAGGTTAGGATTTGGAGATATATGGTAACAAAAAGATATTTCTCAATATGTTTCATCAATGTTTTAAGGACAATTTCGAACAAATTTGGCACAATGATCTACTTGCAAGTTAAAAAATGTCTAATTATGCAACATTTAAAGTTTCTATAAATTGTGACAACTATTTGAACCTCATTACCCAAAGGAAATATAAAATTGCTCTTTCTCGTTTACTTTTATTTGTCATGACCTGGAAGTTGAGCGTGGGCGTCACTTCAATATACCTAGAAAATGTAAACTTTGTAGCTTAAACTGCTTTGAAAATGAATTCCATTTTCTTTATGTGTGTCCAGCGTAGATACAGTAAGACAGACACAGTTTTATCTTCCTCCTAACATCCATAACGTTAGGAATTTTGATGTCATCGCCAAACTCTAACATCATTACAAAATATTTGTACTATGCACATGTGGAAAGAAATGAATGGTTAAATGCAATTCTGCCAGGACCATAATGTTTGTACACAAAGGCCTGAGTCCTAAAAGTACTGAAATAAATTGATTAATTGATAAGTCAGAATTGTATGATAAAGAGTGGATATTGCAAAATATATTTTTTTCTTTTCAAGAATAACTAATTTTGTTTAACTTTTCAAATGTAAATATTATCATAAAATAATTCAAATGTGACTTTTTTGATACTGTTACCATTTTGAAATGACGTGGACAGTTCTGATAAAGAGATGTGGTTATGGTGAGAAATACTTGGACATTCCTGGAGAGTTTTACACATGGCTGAGTAACAGCTGAGCCCCATAATATCTAACTGAGTACTTCAATATAACATAAATCTACTCAAAACAATAGAAATAAATCTTTTTTGATAACACAAAACCCTTACAGACAAAGACAATTAAAAAAATTAAGAAAAATAAAAAAATCAACATATTTTCCATTTTAATCTGTATCCTATTTGATAAGCCTTATAATGAAACTCCTGCCTGCTCTTCATCACTGAAAACAAGTCATGTGACAGCTCAATTGACCTTGACCCTGGAGAGTGTGCTTTAAATACCCAGGCCTGCCCAGCCTCAGTTCAGTTCACAGCAAGCAGTTGCATAGGGAAGTGGAAGGCAGGCTGCCAAAGTTTCTGAAGTTTAAAAAAAAAGTTGTCAAAGTTATTCGGGATAATGTCAAGCAGCAAGAGGTAGTATTGAAGAGGATCACAGCTCATACTGATGTGCATGTGTGACTTAGCATGCACTTCTCCATATAATGCTGAATGCTGGCATGCTTCTGTAAACTAATCATTCTGGTATATTATGTATCGAGTCATAGCTATTGCATATATCATACAGCTAATATGACTAATAGTTCCATGGGTCAAGTTGTAAACAATGCTGCATGGAGTGCAGGAGCTCTCATGCAGTAATGATAGAATATTGAAGCAAATTTTTGCATATAAAATTTTAGATAATTAGTAACAAATAACCATTGTCTTAATATTTAGTGTGTTTCCTGAATGAAAGTCCTCAAGTGTAAATTGTGAAGTTAAGAATAATAGTGAATCTGATTATTCAGAATGCATCGTAAATGAATTTTGAAATGCTGTTTATTTGTGAGCTAACTCTCTTTCAATGATTAGTGTCGTGTCATGTCATGTCATCATTATTCTAACTTTAGTTGTCATGAAAGATGCTTAACAAATATTTTGAAAAAACCTTTGTGTGGGATATGTCACACTCCTTGCATATGGCTTAGATTTCAGTTTCCTGTTACTGAGGAAACGCAATGACAAAATGTTTAAATATTGAGGAACCTCAACGGTTCATGTTTACAAAAATTTTCTTTCTGTGTTAAATACTCTGAATTATTGATGTGATGGTCATTCCTGCAAATACCTCTAAAGTTTTGATTATTTACTGCCATCGTATAGCTGGATGATGTGAGTGTGGAATTAAACAACAACAAACAAAACAATAACATAAAATATATCACAGTGATGTCTTCATTGTCATTCAACATTTGTACCAATGTTTTACCATCTCATCATTCAACAATTATACTAATGTTTTACCATCCCATCATTCAACATATATATATATACTCACCACTCAGTATATTCAACATGTATACCAATGTTGTACTATCTGATCATTCAGTTTATCCCAACACAGACACTACGTGACTAATGTTGTACCACCTCACCCCTTGTTGTTGTCACGGTGACTGGGAAAGGATATTGTTGATTATTGTTGATGTTATGTGTTTTATTCCCATACAGGCAATGTAACTAACCATGTGCAACACTGTGCAGCTGTGCGCTTCCTGCAGCCAATGGCGGTGCCGGTGCCCTATATCATATCATAATGTCTCATCTGTGAAGAAGTGAAATAAATTCTAAGTGGTTTGGCTACTGGGAAGTTGGATATATGATATATGATATAACAGTCCAGAACAGAGTTATCCTTATAGGCAGAAAAGAATATTCTGACATATCCTGATTTGGCCTTAAATGTTTTGGAATTTTTATGTGACTTGCAAAGAAACAGCAGTTTATTTCAGCAGTTTGGGGAATATCATGGGGTAATCCTACTTCTCTTTAAGTAACTCAGGGGGCGGTCTGTAGCCTAGTGGTTAAAGCGCTTGCTCATCACGCCGAAGATCCGGGTTCGAATCCCGACATGCAGATGGTGATCAGAGAGTCTGAATTGTTCACAAATGAGACATTTTGGTGAAAATAGTTGCAATAAATGAGCTAAGGTTTAAAAATGCTCCTGTTTCTTTTATAGACGTAGCATTTCCCACAGTAATCTGAATCCGCGCCCGGTGATGAAGGGGTAAAAGCATGTAGATTAAAGCTAGATATATTCACTAACGCCTTTCACTGCGGCTACTGGCTCTCTGCTTCTTCAACACAGGGAAGGATCGTGATGGTGCTGACAAGAAAAATTAATTGTTTTATGTCACTCATAAGTAAATATATCAAAATTAACATAATCAAATTTGACACTTTTTATATGAAGATAACGCTAAAAAAGTGTTTTTGGAAGGTCTTATTGCATTTATGAAAACCTTCTTTTTTTTTTAAAAGAAATGAGGACCTTGTGTATTGATGAATTCTGAAACATGATTCTTTTGATGAACTTATGTTTTTGAATTTACCACTCAATTTTTGATAAGGATAATAACATTGGATGATAAAATGATAGGGACATCTTTCAAACGTTAAGTGGTATATACATGAATTTAAAGATCTAACTCAGAAAACTTATATCTTTGTCATGCAAACAACTTCTTCAGAAAGCATCATTGTAATGGAAAATAAAGTATCTGTCATTGTCTTTGTTTTTTTCACTATACTGAAGCATTATGAAAACACAGTGCTAGTCACAAAACCATTTTACAGAAAAAAAGGATGATTTTTCTCAGATTTTCCATATTAATTTGTGTGTTGTGACTGGAAATAATTCCATCTCTTGCGTTACTAACATAAACTTTTTTAATTATGAATTTTAGCACTTTTTGTTATTATGTTATTGGTTTTAACTGAAATATTTAATCGAAGAATTCTACATGTAGACATGGTTAAGAAACATATTGTTCCTACTCAGCTTACAAAATATGAGAGATTAAAACAGCACCATATCCTTCCCTGTGTCATTAAGCTACTTTGCTTCTCTCACATCAAATATTTTGATGATACATTCTACTTGGGTGATTACATCCCAGGGTATAGTTGGATCTTCTCAGGGGCGGACTGCTGTAGTCTCTTCAAGGACTGTCTTTAGTAGGGATGGAGTCTGCAAGATTTATATTTTCAGGTTAATCAGTTGGTTCTTACAGTGTTGGTTCTTTCCTTTCACATACTTTTATGTTCGGTGCAGAGGACAAGATGATTTTTATTTTTGTTCTTGTAGGTTATCATGTTTTTAGACACACAAACACATCTCGTTTTCTGTTCTGCATGTGTACACACATATTAAATCCAAATTAAGTTTTGGATTTTACATCATTACGTCCTGAAACATACGCATGCCATTTATATGTTCTGTTGACAAATGAGTTTCGCTTTAACCAATAGTAAATTTATGGTCAATGAAAACTCAACATTCTAGTTTTCATTCCCTTGAACAAAAACTACATCCAGTTCATGATCTTTTGTTTTATTGGGATTTGTGGACCGATCATTTTGAACAGTTCACATCTATTGGTACTGGTAACTAAAATATTTGATTTAAATACATGTATCAGATCTCTATTTGAACTATTCATCCAACATTTACAAATTACAGCTAAATGGTTATAATGTGGTTATAGCCAGATCAACGTTTGTTTACATCAACATTTGTTCAAGCATGAGCATTTCAGCATGCCTTCGCTCACATCCATTCAGATCCTCTATCCATACGCACACAAAAAGCACAATTATGTTACGATTTTTCCACTGCATATATATATCGTTAAATTGTTTGCTTATTTTTATCTTTTATTTTATGTCATTATATTTTGTAGACTTATATTAATTGAACATGAATTCATTATTGTGTAACAAGCATCTACAGTAGTTGTTTACAATTTCATGTTGATCACTGGGTTAAGAGAAAAATGGTACGTAATTGGTTATGAAAATTTATCATCCAATGTAAATCTTGGAACAGATTTCAATGACAAACTAGCAACATGTGTTGACAAAGCATGAATATTAATCAATTGGTGTAACACTTACACAATGTACCTTGCCTATATCCTGGCAGCAGTTAGTCTAGACACCAAGCATTCCATCTAATGTGTAGCACGGTTTCTAGCTGGGTCTGGAACTATTACAGTTTAATGCATTAGTTATAATGCTCCATTAATTGGAAAATTAAAAGAATGGAACAGTATTTCACTGAAGAGGGTTAATCAAAGCCTATTTCTAAAAAACACCATGGAACTAATCTTGGTGTGGTTACCTCCCTTGACTATTTCAATCCATAACTGGGTTGGTTAGCTGGCCCATGTACTTGCCATGCTGAAGACCTGGGTTTGATTCTCCACATGAGTACAATGTGGCATACATTCTTGGTGGCCCTTTTCTTAATACTGTTGTGATATAGCTAAAAAAGTGTAAAACTCTACTCATTCGCACACCGAAACACCCCTCTTAGCCTACATTCTTGAGTTTGGATTTTGATGCGAACACAGGTTTAATAATGACAATATTGAGGCATCTTTGGTTACTTCACCAATGGGGTATTACACATGACCTAAATTGACACTTTCCGAAACCTTACTACTGTGATACGACTGGAACACTTTCAACAGCTGCATTGAGCCCCTATCAACCATTTTCTCCTAATCCTGGTACAGATTATGAAAACCTCTTGATATTTTACAACATTATTCTGCATTTTGTTTCTAGATTGATTTCATTCTATTTTTGTTGAAATAATCACAATAACAATGTTAGTATTGCTCTGCTAATGTTTGTACCTTCCTTGTTTGCTGTGCACTAACAAGGACAATAAACATAACATTAGCTTACACTCATACACAAATCTGCTAGATAGGAAGATCCATCTTTTTCTTGTGTCTTTGGGGCGGTCGGGTAGCCTAGTGGTTAAAGCGTTAGCTCGTCACGCCGAAGACCCGGGTTCGATTCCCGACATGGGTACAATGTGTGAAGCCCATTTCTGGTGTCCCCCGCTGTGATATTGCTGGAATATTGCTAAAAGCGGCGTAAAACCATACTCACTCACTCACTCACTCTTGTGTCTTTATTTTTCTGTCGAGCATTGTCTGAGAGAAGACCACAAACACCATCTCCATTGTCAATGTGTTCTTGTTCTGTATTTCATAAATGCCTTGTGTTCTAACTTTATCAGCACCTAATCCTTTGTAAAGTGCACACTATGACATTAATGCTACTGTGGTAAAGTCATGATCGTTAATATTCATCTGAAATGTCAGTGAAGCTATTAGTGATATCATATCGTTGGCATTTACGAGAATCGATCACATGATAATTTTTGTACATATTCATGTTATTAGGAACTTATGAAAGTCTACAATGGTATTTTTGCATAATTTTATTTTTAATTTTTCAGTTCTCGGGAGCCCGTTTGGAATACAGGTAAGGGTTTATGTCTTATCTTTTGGTTAAATTATATAAGTGGTTATTTGTTATAACATCACCAGTTAAACAGTTTTTCTGTCACATTTTCAAACTATTGTTTTTTACTGTATTATTGTACTCTGTTTTATATGTTTACATACACAAAAGTCATGGTTTGCAAGACAAATATGTGAACTGTTTTCAGAATGTTAACTTTCAAATGACAACTAGACATTCCTGTTTGAGATATGATGTTTTTGCATAGTCTGTATGTTTTGAAAATAGGTGTTTTTAATGTATTTAAGCTAAATGCAAAAGTAGATAAGTTTCTTTTGAAATTATGAACTAAGAATAAGCACATTTGTGTATGCATGCAAACACCGGCTCATGGATTCATGTCTTGCATCCATTGCTTGAAATATCTGAGTGGATTCAGTCTGCGCCTTTAACAAATGGCCTGAGTTAGGGAATATTGGGAAGGGCTGTAATAAGAAGTAAACACTTGTAAGACTTCGATGCATGGTCTACCCATGTCCCTGTTGGGGTCCCAGATCTGTGGCATATTTCATATGGTAGATCTTTCTATTGAACGTCCACAAACGTAATGAATAATGAAGCAGTATTTCACCTAGCCTTTGAAACAGTCATCATGACTCACTTAATAGTTCTTTAGAGTCATGAGCACATTTGAGATGGTCATGCATGAGTTGAATGAATGAATATTTGAATGCATGCGTTTAACATTTAGCTTACCAGATATTGGGAAAAAAATCATCACATGACCATTCCGTTGACTGAAAAATGTTACAATGAAAATATTGAATAAATACTAGTCCTGTAGTCAAGGCAAAACTGCCCAATAGTTAAGGTATCCTAAAGACTAGTAGAAATTGTTAAAGGTTTTGCTATATGTTATTATTAGGACTAGTGGACTGAAAATGTTAGTTTCTATCTTTGGAAAGTCAGGTCAAATATGCAGGAACCCTCTCATGAAGAACCCTGATGAAGGAGTTGAATTTTATAAAGATGTCAGTTATTTGTACAAGGATAGTGAGGCTTGACAAAGGGGTAGCAGAGTAAGAAAGAAAAATGAATGAAAATAATATTATTGTTGGAATGACACTCTGTGTATGTGACAAAACTTAGAGAATGTTGTCTTATGACAGTGGGATTGTACTCTCCTGCCTTAAATTAGACAGCCTTCCCCAGATTTGAGACCTAAGATATATCTAAATCCTAATAACAGCCCATTTCATGGGAGGGAGCAGCTTTAGAATATAGTACCACATCATCTAGTGAGGATGATCTCTCCCGTAGGTCACATGTCATGAAGACAAGGAGCAGTTTTTCCTGGGCGGACCCCGGTGTATCTATCAATAAGATATTACATTTTACATCATAGGGTATTAGACATGTTTGAAATGCTTGTGGTACTGTATTCCTAAGGTAGGCCATTAAGAGTAATATCTAATGTAAACAATGCTGAATAATATGGCTGGTGTGTTTTGGGCTCAGGCTGTGTGTGTGATATATACATATATGAATGATATATGTGTATGTGATATACGTGTGATATATGTGGAGGCATGTTACACAGTGTTACTTTATCTTCAGACTTGTGGTAGACTGTCACACCTGTTGATGTTTTATGTCGTTGTTATCTGTGTATATGTGTACCAAATCAATTTGTCCAAGGATGCATATTGATTTTGGTGGTTGTTCAGTACAAGACCACACAAGAGTTGTTCCCCTTTATGTAAAAGTTTCTCTCAGCTGTTGAAACAGTAATAGGTTCTGGCTGTGTTTACCTAGATTGTGTCTAAAAAGGTCCAAAATATTCCTCACATATCATCAGAATGATTTTTGAATAATCATATTTTTTGGGGGGTGGGGTGGGTGGAGAGACAGACTAGTGACACCCTCAGATTTGTGAACAAACTGGTGTTTTTCATGGAAGTGAGGGGTTAGTCTTTATATGAAAAACATGCAAATTTGAAGGCTGTGGTGGCTACATGTAATCTGCACCTGCAAATCAGGGCTTTGCTTTCTAGATATAATTTGCACATGCAAATCAGTGGGCCATGCTGTCAAGGTGCAATCTACATATACAAATCTTTGGGCTATCTAAATGTGTACTACATATGTAAATTAGCGGGTGGTGTGGCCTAGATTTGTTTATGGTGTTGTCCCTTTCATGGGCCAACAAGATGTATAACTTAGTGGACACTGCATGCAAGCTTTGATTTGGATGACTGGTCATGACTGACTCAGTCTTATAGGAAGGTGAGTGATTAATGCAGGAGAGATGAAAGCTATCATACTGTTATCAACATCTTTAGTTCCCCCATTACCTTGGTGATAAAATGAGAGATCTGATCCTTGTCTAAATACTGAAGAATACTTTCCAGTTCAGGTCTGATTTGTGAAAAGGTTCATGTGAACATTCATAATATGTGACAGTCATGTAATATGGTAATTTTGCCATTCTGGCTCAGGGTCCAATTTTGTTCAAGTGATAATTCCCCAATATATTAAATATTATAGGGTGCATGATGGCATTTGTTTACTGGTCAATGGCCAGTCCACAGGGGGATCTCAGACTTCCATAAGTTTAGGTTAGGGCTTGACCTTGTGACAGTCGTAGCAGTTAGATTGCTTTGTGGAATTACACCCTTGATGACACTGTAAGTAGTGACTGTGTTAGTAGAATGTTCTTATAAGTGTCTCATTAGGCCTTTGATGAAAGATCAGGGCCCAGGTTGTCGTTATACAAAACAACCTTAGCGCTATGACTGTCGTAAGTCTTTGTTGAGGTATGGGATTTAATCACCTTAGCGCTAAGATTGCTTTGTACAACGGCACCCGGGACCCATCCCTCAAAGTTATGTTAGTGCTACGCCTGTGGTAAGTCTTTTTGAGGTATGGGAGTTAAGTGACTATCACCTTAGCGCTAAGATAGCTTTGTACAACGGCACCCGGGACCAATCCCTCAAAGTTATGTTAGTGCTACGCCTGTGGTAAGTCTTTTTGAGGTATGGGAGTTAAGTGACTATCACCTTAGCGCTAAGATAGCTTTGTACAACGGCACCCGGGACCCATCCCACAAAGTTATGTTAGTGCTACGACTGTCGTAAGTCTTTGTTGAGGTATGGGAGTTAAATGACTATCACCTCAGCGCTAAGATAGCTTTGTACAACGGCACCCGGGACCAATCCCACAAAGTTATGTTAGTGCTACGACTGTCGTAAGTCTTTGTTGAGGTATGGGAGTTAAGTGACTATCACCTCAGTGCTAAGATAGCTTTGTCCAACGTCACCCGGCACCCATCCCTCAAAGTTATGTTAGTGCTACGACATGTTTAGTTAGGGATACAGTTATCGTACGTCAGTATAACCATGTGAAAGAATGGGAAGTAGTGTAGTCATAGTTCTAAGATTGCTGTGTGGAATGGAACCCTCTTACACGTTAAGTTAAGCATTAGAACTATGGTAAGTCGATGTTAAGACTATGTGAGTTACGACAAGTGTAGTGCCAATATCACTGTGGAACAGGGCCCAATGTGCTATATTACACTGAGGAATATGCACTCTGAGAAGAAACGTTTTTGCACTAATTCACACCATGAGTTATGTTTTCAGTATATCTTGCCATGAAAGGGTATCCTGGATTGTGTTCATTGTTTTTGTCATCTATATGTTTTAGTTACATTGTTTTCTTTTTGCAATTGCTAGCATTTGGTAAGTGTCTTCCTACCCAGACTGCTAGAATAACCTTCTTTTGCGTAATTATGTGTGTTTGTTTGGTTGGACTGTTCTTTCCTCTTCTGTAACACAAGAAACCTCTAGCGATAACAGGTTCTGTTGAGGGAGGTTGAAATACAACTCCAGCATGAGGGAAACAAGTGTGATGCTTAAGATGGTTTGGATTAGAAGATTTTGAATGGAATTTCGTCTTTATAGAACTTCTTCATTTGCTGCTTGAATTGTTATAAAAATGAAAATTAATTCTTGTTACCATGGTAACATAATGGTGAGTTTGAATGACTTTTGGTTGCACTAAGGATTGGTATTGAATACACTTGATTCATCTGGGGTGCTTTAGTATAAATCTGAAAAACTTGATAGCAAACTGATTCATACTTGTTCTTTAGTAATATCAATGGCAGTTAAGGGTGACATCCGCGATAGTACAATGAAAACTTATGTTTAGATTTCCTGATTTAAGTAGAGAAAACTTTCTTTCTGAAAATAATCAACTCATAATGCTTTTGAATACTGTTGAATACATGACGCTCTGAAGTAGCAAATACACCAGTTAAGATATTCTAATATTTAAGTCCATTTCTCTTAGTGGTACAACTGAATTCAGTGATATTAAAGGAATATTAGATGAAACATGTGGTTGGTTGGCTCAGTGGGTTGTGTCTTTGCTTGTCACACCAAAGTGCTGGGTTTGATTCCCTTCAAGGGTGCACTGGTTTTCACCTTCTGCCATAGTGTGGCTGTGAAGGCGCTAAAGTGGCATAACTCCAAACTCACTCACTCATGCAAAGGAGGAATGAGGAGATTTTAATGAGAAGATTTTAATGAGAACTAAAGAACTTAAGCAGGTTAAGATGTGAGAAGGATAACAGAGTTGCTGTGAAATACTGACACAGTTGGTAACATCAGTTGGGACTGCTGAATGCTGCACTCAATCAACCCTTAATTAAATGCATGCTTATGTGAATGAGATTTGTGAGTGGTTACAGTTGTTTAAGGTTTTATTCCTAATTCCAAAGCACATAAAGGAACTGGACATATTCTTATGAACATCATTTTCGTTGCCCAAATTCTATTAGAATGTTACCAGTGTAAAATGTAATGTCGGCTATGTTGTTATTATCTAAATGCATGTACACTCAATGGTAGTTAGCAATTTACCACATACAAGTATACATACATACAGTGTTAAAAAAAATCAAATGTTATGTCAAATTCATACTGTGTCCTATTGAAGTGGATGCTTTGCAGCTATTCTCGCTATATGTTTACACTTAATGTTATTTTGCTTGATGTATTATTTTTGAGGCAAAAATGGATTAATTTTGTTCAGTGTGTTTTCAGAGAAATGCTTTGGTCCTGTGCATAGTTAACAATATCATGCATGTAATATATATCATATAATGTGTGTGATAAATGTTTTAGCCTTGGTATGATAAGAATTCTAGGAGGTCAGTAAGCTTTGATATGACTGCTTGATGACTTGGTTATCTCCCTTGTGTGTTCCAGAGGAGGGATACTTAAAGATCTACATCCGTGGGCGGCCAATCACGCTGTACGCTCCCTCTGCTCTTACTGACTACAATCTGTCCAAGATAGGGGAAGCTCCATCAGAAACGCTGCAGGTGGAATGGGTGTATCCTTCTCTTGAATGGCTGATGTCTGACACCCTTTGACTTCTGGAGCAGATTTGGGTCTGATTCATTCCTAATGAGATTCTGGGGCAGAATAAGTCGAATGAACAAATTGCTTGTCCTACTCTGTGATCACTGATTGGATTCAAGGTCACAATAGGTCTGATGAAACCATGATGTGTCATACTCTGTGATCACTGATTGGATTCAAGGTCTCGATAGGTCCGATGAACCCATTATGTGTCAGAAGATGTGATCACTGTTTTGAGTTTTTGATGCAATAGGTCTGATGAAACCATTACGTGTCATACTCAGTGTCCCAGTGTAAGAGGCGACTATTGGGATCGGGTGGTCAGTCTCGCTGACTTGGTTGATGCATGTTGATGATATTAATCACTAGATTGTCTGGTCCAGACTCGATTTTTTACTGACCGCCGTCATATAGCTGGAATATTACTGAGTGCAGCGCTAAACAACAAACAAACCATTGTCCCAGTAGGTACTCAGCTCTTGAATCTTGTCATAATGGCAATTCAGTGGTTACAATGTTTCACCTGTCGGATTGTGTGTCTCCAAACCCTGATGTTTGGGATCATAGCTCAAGCATAGGGACATGAGTTATTTCATGCTGCTGTAATATTGCTGACTGCACTGCACACAACATTCACTCACTCACTCACTCACTCACTCACTCACTCACTCACACACATTGTAGTGGTAATGAAAATCCACAGTAATTTTTCTGTTCAAGGAATACTGTATTTCTTAACTGAACTAGCTATGGTTATCGAGGGCGAGATTGTCGTTCCAACTTGTACAACCTGCCGACAGGGGAACTTGTCTACTTCATCGCAGCAGTTGTGGTTCTCTACAATGTGGAAGAAAATATGCAACGCCACTACCTCGGACACAGCGATGATGTCAAGTGGTGAGAAGGGGAGGCTACTCATATATCAGCGTTTAAGTGAATCATTGATAATTCTGAATAAACATATTGCAACATTCTTAATTTATTCAAATATGATGCTCTAAGTGAATGCTTGGCGTTTATTATATTTGTGTTATTAGTCCATATATCTGAAGAAAAGATATTTTGGATATCACATTTTGCGTTTTGTGGTATCAGTGTAGTGTTTCAAAAACTTAAATTGTTAAAATTACTAGTTTGAATTTGCTGTTTTTATTGGCCATGCAAACTCCCATGCAAGACGGGAAAGGTTTACTTCCATGAAACAGACTATGACTGTCTAGCCTGCCTTATATTCACTATTCAGTCTTTGTCCCAGTGTTCCCTGTTTGTATTCTGTGGAAGAACAGGTCCGAGTAATATATACTTGTTGCAAGAGTTCACTAAAATTGAAGGGGATATCTGACCTTGTGACTTAATGTTATCATGCCTGAATAGTTTGAATGAAGGCTCATGCTTTCAGTCACTGGTTTATATGGTCCAGAGTATTTTCAGGCCAATGGAATATATCCGGAATACACACTCACTCACTCACTCACTCACTCACTCACTCACTCACTCACTCACTCACTCGAGTCCTAGTGGATAGAATAGTATTCATTTAATGTAGTGCTTGTTTGTCCACTGTCTCTCTCTTACTTACTCACTCACTCACTCACTGTCCTTCCAGTATCGCTGTTCACCCTGACAAGATCCGTATCGCGACTGGTCAAGTTGCCGGCCATGACAAGAAAGAAGGAAAAGTAAGTGTGACCAACTGACCATGCCCCTAGAGGCAGGGCCCGAACTGGATGCATGTACTACCTCTATCTATCCAGTCCCCAGTGTTCAAAATTAAGCATGAAACTCAAGGCGCCTTGGCATAACCCAAATGTTCTAATATGAGGAATCAGGGAGCCCCAGGGTTCAAATACCTAAGATGCCAAGGACACCCCTTTAGTTTTGAACACTGATTCTCTTATTATAACTGTACATACTCCAGAAATATGAACCCAATATACAAAAATTATCATATCAAAATTATATTAAATTGATTTAGTTAAAATGAATTATAAGTCATGATGTTAAGAGATATGATTATGTGTCATTTGTTGGCATAACTATAATAGCCTCAGAAAAAAGACGATATTTGTAAGATACAGAACCCACTTTTCATTTTCTTGTTCGTATTAAGAGTAACTACAGTGTCATGAATATTTATATTAATTATTATCATTATCATCCAGCTAATCAACTATTGTTGTGTTTGTTGGTGGAAGCCATTACCATGTTGTTGTTGAACCTCCCCACACTAATCTCATTGGCTCATAATATGCTTGATGGGGCTGAAGATTGGCATCTCAGTAAGCTTTTGTAACCATGGTAACAGTATAACTGGTTTCCACCCACGGCACCAATAATTTTTGTCTTCTTGTATATACATTGGGAAATATATTTAGTTTACCTAAACTATTGGTTCATGTCAGGTTCTGTCATGGCAGTTTGTCCTTTACATTTATATCTTTGACATCTCCTTTGCAAGCACGAGGCTGATGAAGCAGAAATGTTGCCACTCTGATGTCTCTAAAACGTGGTTACAGAATGTTTATCTTCTTTTGAACAATAATTATGATTTGGCAATTTCTGTAAAGTTTTAGACCAGTACAATTCAATTTTTTTAAATATTGCACGTTCATGACATCAAAATGTCTATTTTGTTATTTCTCATTATTGGGAAACCATTAGCCATCCAAACAGCAGCTGTGATCTCGTTAACTGAGAAAGAACATTCATGTTCCTGAGGCCTTGATATCAGTGTATGATTATATAAATATGCATTATTTCTATCACATTATGTGTGTTGCCTGCGTGTAATAAACACCCAAATTGGTTATTATGGTCATGGAAACTGGATACATGTATTCATATTAGAATATATACAGTGACCATGTGCTGACTCTCAATTTGAGAAACTGAATATATAGGAATTTGTTGTGATGTGGTTGAACTCATGAATTCTTAAGCTTGAACTTACTGAGTATGACTTGTCTTTTCTTTCAACAAATCTTGATGGGATTTCAGAACAGATTTTATGGAATGGTATCACTGCCTTTATAAGTTTGAATGTGAAACTAAGTCATTTGTATTGGTGTCGCCGTGTACCAAATTTGTCATTCTCTAATAATCAAGAGTTCAGTGTTGCAGTCAACATCAAGATTACCATCCTTTTTAAAGCTGATCAAACTATGATCGTCAATACATTAAGCAACAGATACATTTTATCCTGTATCTATGTAGGAATGACAGATTTGGTGGCCGATATTTTCCTTCAACCTGCCAAGCTTGACATTTTCTAAACAGCTGCAACAGCTGCAGGGACAATTATGCATTATATAAAAAAAAGTTTTTTAGCTGTTATGAGACTGTTATTAGGTGCTTTTTCATTTGTGATCCTTTTAAAATCTTCCCTGACATTTTCAAGTGTAGGACTTGTCATCCATTGGGGATTCTGGGTCAGAATAGGTCCCCTGCAACCTTTGCTTGTCATCCAGAGTGACAAAACTGATTGGGTGGTTAGGAGTTTGTTGATGGCGTGATTGTACTCTGATGGCGTGGATTGTTGATCATGATATCAATCATTGATCTGTCTAGTCCAGACTTGATTGTTTACAGGCTAGTGTCATATAGCTGGAATATTGCTGAGTGCGGCATTAAACAACAAACAAACATCAATGTTGTGGCTTGTGCAAGTTTACTCCCACAGTAAGCTGATATTAGTTTGATGACTGGAATACTGTTGAAAGCAGTGTCAGGCCCACCTTTCTCATCATTGCTGCTTTTTAAAGAAGGATACTTGAAGATTGGATTGATGCAGAGTATTTATATGTGTTCACCAACTTGGCAAGTTGAAGGAAATGTTGTCATGTCTGAGTCCTAACACATCATTCTCTCTGCACGTCCTCATGGTTTGTTTATTACTGACTTGCCTTCTTGTTCTGTCTCTTTCATTAGCACTGTTGTAAGCTTTTTTATGATTTATGCATGTTCAGAAAAAAAGAAATAGTACCTCTGAAGTGACAGATAATGACGAGAAATGGGTAAGTGCGTGACCTTGGACTGACGGTATTATAGCCAATCATATTACAGCTTTCTAACATTTGTGTAGCATTGAGCATACTGGGAGCAAGGAATATACTTTTGATATACGGTAATTTAAAAAACAACATTTTGATCCGGACATTTAGTAACTGATGAAAGAAAAATAATCTAATATCTGTTCACATTTGAAAAGGAAAACAATATAAAGACTGATTCATTCCTACATATAGTCAGTCTCAAGTGTCATATTAAGCTTAACATTTTACCCAAATTCTTAATGAAACCTTTATTAAACTCGTAGTTTATTATATTTTTTACGGAAAGGTAAGACTAGTTCTTGATGACATTTCTTGCTTGCAGACTGTTTATGTAATGGCTGACTAACTCATCATTTAATCCTGTTATCCAGACCTCTAAGCTGGTGTCAAGAGTTAAATATATGGTGGCAGGCTAGTTTGTTAAAATATTTTATGCTTTGGCTACAAATTATTGTTTGTTTATATATTTTTGTCAAAAGCACAGAAATGAACATTGATTTGAAACCCTTAGTTGATTTTATGAAAGTGGATGTGCCAAAATGGAGGTGGGTTACTTTCCAAAAACAAAATTTTTTCCAAGAGAGGAGACACCTTGGGTAAAGATGGCATTTTGGTCAGTTGTTCTCGCAGTGAAGTTAGTTTTGTGTCGCTTCTTCTTGTCCAGGACATTTAAGCTGTTAGCTGTATGGTGTCACTTGCCCTTTAGGGGCGGTCGGGTAGCCTAGTGGTTAAAGCGTTCGCTCGTCACGCCGAAGACCCGGGTTCGATTCCCGACATGGGTACAATGTGTGAAGCCCATTTCTGGTGTCCCCCGCCGTGATATTGCTGGATTATTGCTAAAAGCGGCGTAAAACCAAACTCACACACACACTTGCCATTAATAACCAATCCAGAACAAGAAGGGTGCAATTCTGTGGAATTACGTTTTCCCACAGACTTTGATGGCAACAGTTTTAAGTGCGTACTATACAAAATGGCTGCTGACCTGACCTGCTAGTTTAGAGTGTATGAACTCAGGTCATTGCACTCATTATCTCAGCCTGACTGTGACGAAGTGGACAGAGGTAGGCATGTCCACTCAGTGTGTGGTATTAATTTGCAATAGTGTGCTGAAACTGACAGTGTGTGTTATGGTAGTATGTGTACCCATTGCATCATTGTGCTGAGACTCACTCACTCACTCAGTATGTTTCTATGTAAACTGCATGGTGTAGAATGTTCACTTTGATGTGTGTGTTTCACCAGCAATAGTTAAATGTGACACGTGGATGGATGTGCAGTCAATATTGTGTAGTGTGTATATTTGTCGCTGTATTGTACATGTCTAAGTATCTTTCACATAACACGTTCCACTATATAAGTGCATGACCTATTTCTAAACCTTATATAGTTTCATATTTTCACAATATTTTTGCAAATTGTTTTCTGTTTCATGTCTGTAAGACCAGTTATTAGTATAGTCTTCTTTTTGATAGAGTATCTAAAAATAAATTTGATATTTGGCTGTTTTGATAGTTTTTACAGTCTTTTTAATTACAAGTTGGGCCACATGTACTGCTTCTTTTACACATAGGCCTTTCTTGAACATATCTAAGCTTGATTAAATAAGTTCTAATAGCGAACTTTTATCAGGATTTTCATTTCAAACCTTTTTTTTCTACTATATTTGTTTTCGCTAAGTTTTGAAGAGCTCTTTTAAGGAAAATGGGAATTTAAAAAATATAAACTTACGATTGACAGGCATGTTTTAAATAACATTCTGAATTCTACAATCATCATTTTCGATTGACTTTTTCATACCTTCCTTTACCGGTCCACAATTTTATTTTTATTAAATATGTGACATGTGTTTATCTTTCTTTTCTAAACAAAATATTCAAATGAAAACCATCAAATCTTGATGAGCCCTGACTTACTGAAGTGTTTAATGTATTTTCATGCTACTTGTCATAATGTAGTAGTAGGCCATGAGGCCTTGGGTCAACATGTGTATTTCCTCATTATAAACATGCATATATTATGGCAGGCATGGAATGTCAGCTAGTTTTCCCCGAAGGTAACTCTTTAGTAAATGTTTCAAATTACATTCAGATGTTGACACAGATAATATTTTGTGTATCTTAACTTTACTGTTGTGAATGATTCTGTGCTGACAAAGTGTGATTCACAACTCTTTTGATAATATTTCTTTTGACACAATTTAAAGTGATATTCTTGAATCCATGAATCGCCAGTGACGGATTCAATATTTCATGCTTTTTCTCAAAGTCAGAAAACATGTTTTTTATTTCTTGGTGTTCAGATATTTTTTTTTTCAAATCCATAGTATCAGTGCTTGAACTAATAATGAAAATAAAAATTTTTAAGTGATCTCTTCAGGTGATAGGGTGAAGTAGAAAAAGTTGGCAACACTACATTCAAGAGTTGTAATTATTAAGACTGTTAATATTAATCTGTTTGAGAAATGTTTTTGCTCTGCTTTGCTAGTGAACTTAGTACGAAGAAAATAAGTTTGCTCTTAAGATGTATATTATTCCACAAACTGAGATGATTTGTGCAACATTTGGGATCAGTTGACCTGTAAACAAAGTAATAAGCTTTGAAATCATTCAGTCAGTGATGGTGTATTAATTGAAAGTTAAAAATGTCTTTGAATACTGGTGTTGATGTCATTCAGAAAAATAGGACAACATGAATTTTAGAACTGTTATTATTTTCTTATTATCTTCCGTTTCATGCAATTCTGTTCTCCCTTTTCATATTTATTCAAATTAATAAACTGTTGGATGTTAGTATGTTGTACAAATTAGAGTTATTGACATTTCACCTACATGATATTCTGCGCAGTTGACCCAAGATGTTATGGTTTTCAGCAATTGGTAGTTTGACAATGATGATCATGCATGAAGTAAATTCCAAATATACCGATTCCAGTCTTCAAATAGGTACTTGCAGCTGTGATATGTTGCATAAAAGCATCTACTCTTTTATTTCTTAGCAGAAGTATTTGTCCAAAGTGTTAAGTGTTTGATTTCATGTGTATATTTTGTAAACAGATAATATGAACAGTTTGATTCCTTTCAGCCACACGTTCGTATCTGGGACTCTGTGAGCCTCAACACGCTGAACGTGATCGGACTCGGAGACTTCGACAGGGCTGTGTGCTGTGTCTCCTTCTCCAAGCTGGTAACTATAATATCTTATTACTTGCCCATGAAGAGATCACCCGTTTAATAAACATTCAGCTGTATTGCACATTGTGTAATACCAAAATTAGGAGATAAACATACTGTGTTTTCAATGTAGAGCTAGGTTACCTGTAGATTTCACCGCGCTAAATTGAATTTGGAACCGAACGCGCACTGTGATTTATTAGCCTCTGATTGACCAATCAGAATCGAGTAAATTCCAAATTCATGGTAGAATGTGTGCTTATGTACTCTCGGAACAAGTTTCACAAGCAAATATTGAAAGCTCTCAACATCCCTTGGCTTATTCACTACATTGCGTGTGAAGAAGATAGATCACTGAGAGGAGCTTATGCACACTCTATGACCCCAGCAACCTTGTTGCTAGGCTGACGTCACATGGCATTGTTTCGCCGATGGATCTTGCAACAAAATTCCTAAATTACGTCATCGGGTATTGTGACGTGATTGTAAACCTTGAGGTGCAAGGCCCCGTTCCATAAGGTTTTTGCTCATCAGATACCACAACTATTCACTCGTTTCATAAAATTGGTATTACACGGGAGCTCGTTTAGTATTCGATATATCACTTTAGGACAAAGAACAGCAGGGTAGTGCACTCGTTTCAACTCTCGTGCGTTTGGTGAGAGACTCTCACAATCCCGCTCTCACGATATAAAAATCACTACAGGAAATCTCATGCATTTATTAAGAACATCATTACAAGAAAATTAATATGGTACGAGATGGCTCTACAAGAATGGTCAAAGTGGATAAATTCACTGGACCCTGGCTTAAGTGAAAAACGTATCACCCTGGAACATTTTTGGGGTTGGCAGCTGTGGCAGTTGTTGTAGTCATTTGTTATAACAAGGACCTTGGTTCAGTACCACACCTGGGTAGAATGTGTGAAGTCTTGGCGTCCCCACCTTGGTTTTACTGGAATATTGATAAGCTGCATAACAGCCTACTCCCTCACTCACTTAAGACATGGCTATATAAAAAACAAACTCCTTGCACAGTATTCACATATTGGTTTGTGTCAACAACAAAAATAAAATAAAATTGAATATGCATTGATATTATGTATCTATTTTGATAGTGATGTTTAAAGAAATGTGTCTTGCATATATAGTCACCGACAAAAGAAACGTGAATATCATAGATGTTGGTTAATATGTGAATGATTACTCATATTCAAGAGATATTAGATTGGTTCGATGCACAAATGAACATACCGGAATATTGTGTAAACTGACTCTCATGAACGCATCATGACTCGAGATGCACCATTTGTCTTGGGCAGGATCAGCGTGTAAAGTTTGGAAATCATGTCATGCATAACCTAATAAGAATAGACACTCTGTTGTAACACTTGACTGACTGTTTGTTTTGTCATTAAGTGGCACACATTGGAAACATCTCTTCTTAACATACATACTTCTCTATGTGTTTGTATGGGTCGTGTTTCTTTTGGCGGTGAGTATATGTATTTTTTGTAAGTGGGCTGTGCACATGTAAACAAATAGTATAGAAAGTAATGAAGTAAAACCTCACCTGAACAAGTTAGTGTGATAATACCTTAACAATAAATTTACAATAAATTATTTTTAACAACAAAGGAATCAAACAGTGTACTTGAAATATTGTTATCAAGGTATCCCAGGATAAGAATTTAAAATATAAAATATGTTTTTGTTGAAGTGATGACATGCAAAGAGAGCTAAGAGAGATAACTTCTTGTTTTAGGATGGAGGGCTCCACCTGGTGGCAGTGGATGATGCAAATGAGCATGTGATATCGGTGTGGGATCTCAGTCGAGACAAACCTCACAAGATCACAGAAACAAAGGTCAGTAGTTACATTGTGTAGCTATGTTGTTGTAAAAGTTGCTCAATATTAGGACCGCCTCCGTGGTCTAGTGGTAGAGCGGAAGGTCCGGGGTTCGATCCCTGACCGCGTCATACCAAAAGACATTAAAAGATGGTACTTGTTGTTACCCTGTCTGGCGCTCAGCATTAAGGGGATAAAACAAGGACTGGTCCGCTCGGAGTCAGTATACTGTGTCTGAGTGGGGTATTCATGTTAAACTGCAGCATGGTATCTCAGTGAGCTAGCACTATAATTCGGCATCAGTCCGGACTAGTACAAGCAGCCACACACACACGTGCATGCATGTCGCTATATAAGTGCAATAATCTTGGACGCGACGTTAAACCCAATTTCACCTCACCTCACCTGCTCAATATTAGATCCATGCGGAGATTCTTGGGCAGAATGACCACACTTGTGAACTTTGCACTGCTACATTCACAAGATTTGACCAATCAGAAATCATGATGCTGATGTTGCAGAGTTCCACAGAACCCGTCCTGGCAGTGGAGTACCACCCGCAGGAGAAGAACAGCATCGTGTCTTGTGGCAAGAGTCAGATCACCTTCTGGACTGTGGAGGGTGGATCTCTAGCCAAGAAACAGGGAATCTTTGATGTATGTATTAGTATTACACAGTGCCGGGCAGAATATTTTCCCGTGCTGATGTTTTCTGTAGGTTTACTTCATGTATTACCCATAAGCTTAGAATGATCATGTGTAATAACGTTCCGATATTTGCACGGTGCTTCATTGCTGAGAAATAGGTGATACGACACCCTCCATTGTCCAAGATGAGACTTACTGATTACATTATGTCATCTGAACAATGTTAAATGACTACAATGAAGTTTCTCTGTAGTGTTGACATTTAAAACGTTATTTTCAAGACAGTTTCTAGATTAGACATTCTAATGTTTGTAATAAACTAGGGCTGGGATGGGTAACTCGGGTACTCAGGTAGTACTGAGTAGGACCTGGGTACCCACAGGACTACCTGGACCCATGGTTAGTCATGTGATATATTGTTCCATGACAAAAATTCACTAAAACTTCAGTCAACTTCATTTTATGCATGACCCCATCATTTTATACGTGTATCTAAATACATTCTGCCAGGGCTACTGTCAAACTATTCCTAATCGGACATTTTGTACCTATCTCTTGACACCAACAGCGGGTACCCGGTAGGGTGGGGTAATAGGGGTGTGGGTACCCGGGTAGTACATTTGGACTTGTCCCAGCCCTATAATAAACATTACGCTTTCTCTTCACAGAAACATGATAAGCCGAAGTATGTGTTGTGCCTGGCCTTTGCTGATAATGGGGACGTGATCTCAGGAGACTCAAATGGCAATATCTTCATTTGGGGCAAAGGTTTGTCTATGGTTTTGTTAATTCCATAAAATTTAGTAATAAATCTACAAGATGAATCTTCTTTGTCAACAGAAGGTTAAACAGAAAATGGTTTGGTGTTCAGGTATTCCCCTCAAAATTGAAATAGTGTCCATTTTCCTGCAGATGTTATTGAAAAGTCTTATATTCTGAGGACCATGCAGTTTGTATTATACCATTTTTAAAACACTGTTCCGTAGAAATCCTAAACCAGGTATTACTGCTTTTTCAGGAAGCAACCGGATCAGTCAGGCTGTCACTGGGGCTCACGATGGAGGAGTATTCTCAGTGTGTGTCATGAAGGACGGGTCCATTCTGTCTGGAGGTGGCAAGGATAGGAAGGTCATACAGTGGGACAGTGCTTACAAGAAGACAGGTCTAGAGACAGAGGTTAGATCACCCCTGTTGTATCATCAAACAGTCTGAAATGACATCTTAGTAATGTTGTTTGTGTAACAAGAATCAGAAACATTGAAATATAAACTGTGTATTCCAGGGATTTCTATTTTATGACTGGTTATGATTTGATTTTTTTCAAAGTTACCAACAACAAAGTCATAAGAGGCGACTTAATGGATTGATTTGTTTGTTTGCATATCCACGTACCCTAATGGGACATTGCTTATAATATCAGTCACTGGTTTATCTGGTTCATTAATGAAAGATTTGCATCATATAGCTGGACTCTTGCTGACTGTTGTCATAAAAAACATATATACAGAGAAATCAAAGTTACAACAGTCATCTGCAGATATAATGATATATCAAAGCAAAATATTGGCTAAGACATCTTCAAATATAAGCTGGAGTATAGGTAACACATGAAGGTAAATAGCAAATTCTTGGTTCCAAAAAACTGATTTTTTAGGATGCTTTAGGGGAGTTATATAAAGCATCAAACTGTATTTGGTTGTGTTTGTGACAAGATAGTGTTTGGGTTGACTATGAATATGCTGATAAATGTCTTCTCTCAGATCCCAGAAGTGTTTGGGCCAGTGAGGACTCTAGGCCAGGGAAAGGGGAACTTGATCCTTGTGGGCACCACACGCAACTCCGTGCTGCAGGGCACCCTTGACCTCAAGCTGAACCCCATTGTACAGGTGAGGAGCAGAGTAGCCTCCCTTTGTAGAGCACCTGTATATCATGCAGTCTGTTTGTCATAGTGGAGATGATGTAGGTGTATATGTGATGTTGGAGATGGCATCAGAGAGGGTGTTAATGATGGTGTTTAATATGTTAGAGATGGTGTTAGTGAATGTGTAGAGCTGGTGTTTAAGATGTAAGAGATGGCATTTGAGTTGATGTTTGATGGTGGTTTTAGAGATGTTTGAGGTGTTTTGAAACCATGCTCGAGGTAGTGTTTGAGATGGTATTTGAGGTGATATTTGAGAGCATGTATGAGATGATGCTTTAAGGTGGTGTAAAATATACTATTGAGATAATGTTTGAGTGTTTGAGATGATGTTTAATGTGATGTTAGAGATGATGTTTGAGGTGACGTTTGAGGTGACGTTAGAGATGATGTTTGAGATGATGTTTGAGATGATGTTTGAGATGATGTTTGAGATGATGTTAGAGATGATGTTCGAAGTGATGTTAGAGATGATGTTTGAGGTGATGTTAGAGATGATGCTAGAGATGATGTTTGAGGTGATGTTTGAGATGATGTTTGAGATGATGTTTGAGATGATGTTGGAAGTGTTGCTAGAGATGATGTTAGAGATGATGTTTGAGATGATGTTTGAGATGATGTTTGAGGTGATGCTAGAGATGATGTTTGAGATGATGTTAGAGGTGATGTTAGAGATGATGCTAGAGGTGATGTTAGAGGTGATGCTAGAGATGATGTTTGAGATGATGTTTGAGGTGATGTTAGAGATGATGTTTGAGATGATGTTGGAAGTGTTGCTAGAGATGATGTTTGAGATGATGTTTGAGATGATGTTTGAGGTGATGTTAGAGATGATGTTTAAGGTGATGTTGGAAGTGTTGCTAGAGATGATGTTAGAGATGATGTTAGAGATGATGTTAGAGATGATGTTTGAGATGATGTTTGAGGTGATGTTAGAGATGATGTTAGAGATGATGTTTGAGGTGATGTTAGAGGTGATGTTAGAGATGATGTTTGAGATGATGTTTGAGATGATGTTAGAGATGATGATTGAGATGATGTTGGAAGTGTTGCTAGAGATGATGTTTGAGATGATGTTAGAGGTGATGTTAGAGATGATGTTAGAGATGATGTTAGAGATGATGTTAGAGGTGATGCTAGAGATGATGTTAGAGATGATGTTAGAGGTGATGCTAGAGATGATGTTAGAGATGATGTTAGAGGTGATGTTGGAGATGATGTTAGAGATGATGTTAGAGGTGATGCTAGAGATGATGTTAGAGATGATGTTAGAGATGATGTTAGAGGTGATGCTAGAGATGATGTTAGAGATGATGTTAGAGGTGATGCTAGAGGTGATGCTAGAGATGATGCTAGAGATGATGTTTGAAGTGATGTTAGAGATGATGTTAGAGATGATGTTAGAGGTGATGCTAGAGATGATGTTAGAGATGATGTTAGAGATGATGTTAGAGATGATGTTTGAAGTGATGTTAGAGATAATGTTTGAAGTTACCCCTGATATGCTGTCATCTGCAGGGCCATATGGATGAGCTGTGGGGACTCGCTACTCACCCCACCCAACACCAGTTCCTCACCTGTGGCTCTGACAAGCACATCTACCTGTGGGACAGCATGTCACACTCTGTCATCTGGTGCAAGGAGATCACGGTAAGTCACACTCCGTCATCTGGTGCAAGGAGATCACAGTAAGTCACACTCCGTCATCTGGTGCAAGGAGATCACAGTAAGTCACACTCCGTCATCTGGTGCAAGGAGATCACGGTAAGTCACACTCTGTCATTTGGTGCAAGGAGATCACAGTAAGTCATACTCCGTCATCTGGTGCAAGGAGATCACAGTAAGTCACACTCCGTCATCTGGTGCAAGGAGATGACAAGAACATCTACCTCTGGGATTATGGTAGTCACAAACACAAAGCCACCTCACTATCTTACTCATGCTCCCCATCTTGTTTCAGGACCCCGCTCACAGCTGCAGCTTCCATCCCAATGGGAGTGTGGCAGCCATAGGCACCCATGCCGCCAGGTGGCTCATCGTCGACCTCGCGACACGGGAGATGGTTAGCGTCCACAGTGACGGCAGTGAGCAGATTGAGACGATCAAGTACTCACCTGGTCAGTTGGTTGTGCAAGTGTGGGCAGGAGTCTTCTTCTCCAAATGCTAAAATTGCTGTACAGAGTTGCATCCGACATGCTATGTTTAGGGTTCAAATAATAATTTCACCTCAATGATCCTTTGTCAGCACAATACCTGTTTCCCAAAGCATTCATAGCGTTAGAACTATCATCAGTATATGTTAAACAATGAGCATCACTGTAGCCATAGTGCTATAATCACTGTGTGAAAAAGGGCTCTGTACGTGTGTCACACTAAAGTCCAAATGTCTATGACTTATTTCACATTCGATTCGGATATAACTGCGATATGTAACACTGTTGAGGGCAGTAACAAAGCCCATCTCACACAAAGCAAATCACTACCTTTTCGTGATCTATGAACAAGTTCCTTTTAAGTAAGCCTCAAGTTGAAAGTTCAGTGTTCATATTTTGTCAACCTGCATCATTCTATTGACCCATTCTCTCATAACTTAATGCCCCCTTGTGAACATGAACAAATTTATGCTATAACATCTTGTTTCATTGATATTCTGTGGAGGGAAAGGCCCCAGTCTCCAGTGGTGTGATCAAATGTTTTATAAAACAGTATTTTAATGTTTGAATGACTACATGGTTGCTTTATTATGTAATTGTCCCTGATATTGGCCTTCAGCGACTTCTTTTTTCTAGGCCTTGGTTCACGTTGATGTGATAATCAGTGAACCTTTTTAGTCCAGAAACGCCACATACTGAATAGTAGGGTAGTTGCTTCTGTACGTTTCCTGTAAGTTTTCTTTAAGTAACCATGATTCATTAAACCAGAGATTTGTTAATCCACAATGTGTTAATAAGGAAAATTTCACTGGGAACTGTACCATCAAGAGTACTGAGGTTGTGGTTCAGATATTACAGTTGACATGTCACTCACTCACTCACTGACTGTGACAACTTGCAGATGGCAGCTACATCGCCATTGGGTCCCGAGACAACTACATCTACGTGTACCAGGTCAGCGATGGAGGAAGGAAATACTCAAAAGTGGGGAGGTGCTCGGTAAGTTGCTACTGAATCTACTTCCAGGGTGTCGTGTGTGGATGTGTGTGTGTGTGGGTATTGGTGTGGGTGCATGTGTGCGTGTGACCTAGGCTGGTCAGAAAAGGTGACTTCATTAAATTCAGGCCAAGAACGCCATGTCAGATATTCATGCCTTATCTATGATTAGAATCTGTCTTAGTTTGTGTTTCTTTATATTTGGTGATAAGATAGACATTTTGATGTGTAGGTGTGTTTTGGGTTTGTTAATTATATACATGTTGGTTATGTCATTATGCACTTTGTGGCATGTGGATCAGAAGGTCACTGCATTTTATGGATACCGTTGGTATTTGGATGAAAACCATGTGTCAAAACATCTGTAGGTTGAGATGAGACACAGTCATTGTTTCTCTGTACAGTCATTCACGGATTGGGTGGAGATCTGTCATTAGTCAGTCATCAGTCTATACAGTCATCAGTCTATATTGTCATTGTCAGATGGGGTTGAGATCAGTCATTAGTCATCATTCTATACAGTCGTTCACAGATTGGGTTGAGATCAGTCATTAGTCAGTCATCAGTCTATACAGTCATCAGTCTATATTGTCATTGTCAGATGAGGTTGAGATCAGTCATTAGTCATCATTCTATACAGTCGTTCACAGATGGGGTTGAGATCAGTCATTAGTCATCATTCTATACAGTCATTCACAGATGGGGTTCGAGATCAGTCATTAGTCAGTCATCAGTCTATACAGTCATCAGTCTATATTGTCATTGTCAGATGGGGTCGAGATCAGTCTTTAGTCATCATTCTATACAGTCGTTCACAGAGGGGTTGAGATCAGTCATTAGTCAGTCATCAGTCTATATTGTCATTGTCAGATGGGGTCGAGATCAGTCATTAGTCATCATTCTATACAGTCGTTCACAGATGGGGTTGAGATCAGTCATTAGTCATCATTCTATACAGTCGTTCATAGATGGGGTCGAGATCAGTCATTAGTCATCATTCTATACAGTCGTTCACAGATGGGGTCGAGATCAGTCATTAGTCATCAGTCTATACAGTCATCAGTCTATATTGTCATTGTCAGATGAGGTTGAGATCAGTCATTAGTCATCATTCTATACAGTCGTTCACAGATGGGGTTGAGATCAGTCATTAGTCATCATTCTATACAGTCATTCACAGATGGGGTTCGAGATCAGTCATTAGTCAGTCATCAGTCTATACAGTCATCAGTCTATATTGTCATTGTCAGATGGGGTCGAGATCAGTCTTTAGTCATCATTCTATACAGTCGTTCACAGAGGGGTTGAGATCAGTCATTAGTCAGTCATCAGTCTATATTGTCATTGTCAGATGGGGTCGAGATCAGTCATTAGTCATCATTCTATACAGTCGTTCACAGATGGGGTTGAGATCAGTCATTAGTCATCATTCTATACAGTCGTTCATAGATGGGGTCGAGATCAGTCATTAGTCATCATTCTATACAGTCGTTCACAGATGGGGTCGAGATCAGTCATTAGTCATCAGTCTATACAGTCATCAGTCTATATTGTCATTGTCAGATGGGGTTGAGATCAGTCATTAGTCATCATTCTATACAGTCGTTCACAGATTGGGTCGAGATCAGTCATTAGTCAGTCATCAGTCTATACAGTCATCAGTCTATATTGTCATTGTCAGATGGGGTCGAGATCAGTCATTAGTCATCATTCTATACAGTCGTTCACAGATGGGGTTGAGATCAGTCATTAGTCAGTCATCAGTCTATATTGTCATTGTCAGATTGGGTCGAGATCAGTCATTAGTCATCAGTCTATACAGTCGTTCACAGATGGGGTTGAGATCAGTCATTAGTCATCATTCTATACAGTCGTTCACAGATGGGGGTCGAGATCAGTCATTAATCAGTCATCAGCCTATATTGTCATTGTCAGATGGGGTCGAGATCAGTCATTAGTCATCAGTCTATATTGTCATTGTCAGATAAGGTCGAGATCAGTCATTGGTCAGTCATCAGTCTATACAGTCATTCACAGATGGGGTGGAGATCAGTCATTGGTCAGTCATCAGTCTATACAGTCGTTCACAGATGGGGTCGAGATCAGTCATTAGTCAGTCATCAGTCTATACAGTCATTGTCAGATGGGAATGACGGTGTAGCTTTGTGGTTACAGATTTAGCATGTCATGCCTAAGAGGCCCAGTTCAATTCCCCACAAGGATACAATGTGTGAAGCTCATCATTGGTGTTGCCAATGGGATACGGCTGGATTTGAATAACAGCATAAAAGCCATCCCGCTCTAAATTCCAGACTGGATGATGCTTGATCATTCTGTGAGAACCTCATTCCCTCACTCACTCAGTTCTATGTTACAGGGCCACTCCAGCTTCATAACTCACGTGGATTGGTCAGAAGACAGCCAGTATCTAGTCAGCAACTCAGGGGATTATGAAGTCTTATACTGTGAGTAGGATTTATACACTGACTAAAGCCTTGCCTTTTCATTTTATTGGTTTATTTACAAATTGTTTTCTCAAATTGTTGGGTCTGAGATAAAAGAAACTAAAACTAGACCCTTCATTTTAATGAAGTCAAAGATGACAGAAAGATGAAATAAAAGAAGTCTTTTATGTTATTTTCATCCAAAATACTCCTCAACATGTTTTTGATGAGTTATATTTGACACAGTATATTTTATCAGTTGCAACAAAAAACATCCATGAGACAACACACATTTGTAGAATTTGTGACTATCACCCTTTGTTAAATGCACAAAAACTAAAAAATAATCCTTGAATAACATGTTCAATCAACATAATGTTCATGATGATATTTCTATTATCAATATCATGTAGACTAAATGTAGAGATGCATGGCTCTCTAAAAGTACAGGGATGAGTCCTATTTTTCTTTGGCTAGTTGAAAATCTGTGTGTCGATGCCATGTTGTATTGATGGGTAACAAGTGTTTTGTGTTCTACAGGGACAGTGAGTTCCTGTAAGCAGTTGACCACACCGGCCTCAGTGCGAGACACTCAGTGGGCAACCCAGGACTGCACACTCGGCTTCAGTGTTGCAGGTAAGGGAGAAGAAAAAGAAATATATTTTCGTATCATGTCACAATATACCTGTTGTATTACATAATTACACAATTAAAACTCAATAAAACCCAACATTCAGCCTGTAGGCCTGTGAGGCATGATCAGCCATACAGAGCAGTAATTAAGTTTAGAAATACAGAATATGACAAAATACATCCATACAAAAAAAGTGTCAAAAATGTGAAACATAAGAAAACAAGTAGCTTTGGCGTGTGTACAATTTGGAGATTATTTTGGCTGGAAGCTTACTGTATATTACTGTCTGTAGCTAATTTATATGGTTCCCTCCCATCAGTCAGACAGGCCATTTGTCATACACCTTGTTATTGCCAATCGTCATACAGTTGAGTAGGGGGGTAATTAGAGCACACACCTTAAGCTGTAATGGTATGACCCAACGCTCTGAGTTAAGGTCTTTGTTACAACAACAATGTTAAATTCATAAAGGGTGAGTTGTTGTGAAAAGGAGGAAAAGTCCAATCGAGTTCCTTGATGCTGCATGTCACCTATTGAAGCTTGGATAGCCATTATCCGCCATTATGATGCTTTGAATGTTGAATTATGTTATTAATTCTTGTTAAACTTGGTTCATATTTATAATATTATGTTGAATAAACCATACTAATTTATTAATTACTTTTCTGCTTTACAATTTGTTTTCTTACAATCTGCAAATGAATAAGCACAAGATCATTCATAATTATAATCCTGGTGTTCCCTATAATTCAAACCTAAACATAAACACAGTTAATGATCTGTGTGGAACAGTCCATATTGATAGGTAGAAGGCAGGGGATTAGTCATGCATATCCTATGTTATTATAAGCTGTATGACAAATGGCCTGTATGACTGATGGGACGATACCATTTATATACCCTGTGTATTTTGTGATCCGGACTGTAGCACATCACCAGGGCATACACGTTCCCTACATTTGCAATAAAATATGTGTTTGTCTTCCGCTCTTTTTTCTAAAATTATTTTTGAAGAACTCTTTATTAATATAATGGAAAGAAGAAAAATTATTTTTTCATAATTTGCCCTTTTTGAAAAGTGTAAGCAGGAATCGCATAGAAAAAAGAGTTAATATTGTGGGCAATTGTGCATGATGAGTACAAAGTAGGACCATTTATGAAGTCTGCTCTGGATACACAGATATGTAACCATCATGTTTGACAACCATTGGCGACATTTATAAAAAGTCACCACCAAACTCTGACAAAACATTGTTCCTATCTGCAGGAATTTGGCCTGATGGCGCTGACGGCACAGACATCAACAACTGCACTCGCTCCCACAAACAGCATCTTGCAGCCACAGGGGATGACTTTGGGAAGGTCAATCTGTTCAAGTATCCATCTTGTCAGCCGAAGGTAAGCTGCATTATGAATTTTGATGATTGAAATTACCGAAACCAACATGATAAGAAATTGACAAATAATAGCAATTTCAGTTTCCAAACAGTTCAACAAACACACTTAGCAGTTTTATACATTTATAGAAACACATTGTGCTCATTGATTACACACAGGTTGAGTCAAACATCACACATGGGGAATCGGGAATGAACTAGGCAGTACTGTAGGTAACAGTGATCCAGGGGTAGAATATTGCCCCTAATGCTCCGTGTCTGATAAATGGACATCAGAATGTGTTGGAGTGTGTGGTCACCGTAAGCGCTGAGTTTGAAAAGTGCATGAAGAAATGACCGTCTCACTCAGAACAGTCAATGAATAACGCGAAAATACTCAATAGAAACATTGTCATCTAAACAAACAGTCTTTGACTGCTCATGGGGAATATCAGTCAACCAGGACAAACGTTTTACTGCACCCAACATGCTGTACTGTCCTGTCCAAGGAACTGTTTCAGACATAGTGTCAGACATCATTGTCATTCCTTTGAATTAACTTCAGTATTCAATGAATAAAGTGACAAAACCCTTTCCATATCCAATAGAAATCTCTGCATAAAGCAGAGTGGATTGTACGATTCCGACTATATCATGAGCATGTGTTTATGAATCACTATCAAATAGTGATGATACCAGATGTTTCGCGAAAAGGTGAGTGTATCCTGTCCCACTGGTAGCACCCTTCCCAAACACATGCAAAGGCAAGTCAGTTGTTCACCTGAAAAAACATGGGAACATATGGTACAAGTCAAAATAGGGAATTGCATTGGACATCATTTTTGTCACTAATGCGTCAAATTTGGAAATGTCCTCCACATGTCTACCATAAAACGTTTTGAATGTTCAAACTATATCTCACTTCTCCTGTCTCTGTTCACAGTCCAGCAGCCATGTCTATAAGGGGCACAGCAGTCATGTGACTGATGTCGGCTTCCTGTTCGACGACTCTCGGCTCATCTCAACCGGAGGTCGTGACATGAGCATCATCCAATGGGAGGTGATTGGTTAAAACAAAGACAGATGTTCCAAAGCCAATCTGAAGATGATAAAACTACAGTTTAAGGAGATATTGAACGTTTGGGAACTCATGGATCAACCGTGTTTATGGATTAAAAGAAAATGATGCTTTGTATACAGCTTCTGGACCAAGTGTTGCTCTCAGACATTACATTGTGAAACTGATGTCTGTACTGCAGCCAGGGACAACAAGCACTGGCCAACATGAGCAAGGCATTTTTGTGTTGAGTTTGTTTCTCTGAGGCCATGGCTAGCCCAATGATGAACAGGTTTACATGTACAGCAGATTGCTGAGTTCATCACCTGGCTACAACCTTGTCCAGCTGCAAGTGCTAATGTATTGTGTCAACTATTCAGTGTGATATCTGATGGCATGGTTATGTAGGTTGAGATGCAGGCTGTCATGTGCAAAGATCAACATTTGATATGATTGTTTTATTTGCAAACATGGACTGAAAATATTTCTGCTTTAAACATCACGAATAATATTAAGCGTTTTTTGATAGTTTATGATAGCATTTATTTATGGTTAGTGGTGACAAAGTAATTCAACATCTCCAGTATTTAGAGTCTGTTTAGTGTTGCAACAAATGTATGGTGTCTGTAAAACACCATTTATGTCATATATTTATCATTCATGGTGTAACTGGTAGCAAGCTTTTATTTGCTTCACATAAACAAAATGCTTCCAACAGGCAACATGTTTTATGAAAGGAATTGCTTATAACCACAGAATGTATTTTACTTTTTTTTATTGAAATAGTGGATATTTCTTAGGTTTCCTGTTATTGGACTGAAAGTGAGTTAATGTTGCTTTCATCAGCTACTTCAGACAAGCTGATTTTGGCTCTGATGGGTCGTTTTGAAGTTTGCCTTCTTCGTATTCTTTCAGCATTAAGAAGTTTGGTCCAATGTTGGATCAATGATACTTTCCAAGTTGGAGAATGATTTCAATTTTTTTGTCTTACTGTGATCTGTTTTTATATATATTCCCATGTTATGCTTTATTTGTGTGTATTTCTGTTATTTCATGAAGAATATATGGAATTCTAATAAGGGACTGGTCATTTACGTAAGTGTCACTAAGTACATACATTTTGGGGATGGACATGAAAAAACAAAAACAAAATTTGGTGTTCATGGGATTTTCATGATCAAATTCAACTTTTGTGTAAGATGAGAGTTTAAGATAGAAGATGTATAGGAGAGTAATCATTTTTAGTACACCATGACTGATAAATCTACAAAGTCATAAAGAACAAATGACCATCTGTTAGAGCTGCATTCAGTAACATGGGATGAAGGATTTGATTTACCCACCTCCTCTTTTTCCACATTCCTTGCTCAAAATGACAATATGTGTAGTATGATATTAGAAACACTGTTTTCTGCCCAATGGAGTGAGGCTTGGAGTCAGTATAATGTGTCTAAGTGGGAGTTCCATGTTACATTGTGGGATGGTATCTCAGTGGGCTGGCACTAAAAATCTGGCATAAGTTCAGACTAGTACAATCAGCCACACACACCTGCATGCTTGTCGCTGTATAAGTGCAATAACCTTGAATGCGACGTTAAACCTCATTTCACCTCACCTCGCCCAACAGAGTGCTGTGACATACTTAATACCTTTAAAAAAATTGAATTTCTTTTTACATAACCCCTGGGTACATGAAAAAGGTATGTTGAAACTATAAGAACATTCTTTTTTTATTATTTCCATATTAAGAAACTGCAAATATACAAAATTATGACAAATAAAACTTGGTACCCACAAGAAGCTAATAAACAATTTCGGAGTTTTGGTCAATCCAAATATGATTTTCATTATGTTTGTATGTGCTTGTGTGTCTGTCTATATATATATATATATATATATATATATATCAATGACTTTAAACTAACTGTTATTAGTACGGACAAAGTGCTTTGTTGTGAAAATTGTAAAAAAAAATGTTGTTAATGGCATGTAAATACTTTTGTTAAACGAATAGATTGAAAGGGTATCCATGGTAACCACAAATCTGGAAGCAATGGTAACCTTAGATACTGAAACATGCAACAATATGCTTCTACTATTCAGTTTACCTACTTAGCAATATATATATCTGTACAGTCCATATACATCTGAAAGGTATTTTCTTATACATGTACATTGGTATGTGTCAGTTTATGTACATTTCATATTTAAAGATAAGTTGGTGTATATTTGAAATGTATATTGCATGATGCTTCCTGTTTGTTTTAGAATAATTGCTTACTGGTACCCAGTGTCAGTTACCATCATTTGTTTAGACATTGCCATTTTCTGCTGTGTCTTAGATATGCTGACAGATTTTCTGTACACAACTTATTCAATTTCTTTTTATAAAAAATAGATATGATTTCATGTTTGTGTCAATAAAATAATTTTAAATGTCAACATCTTTTTGCTTAAAACTAACGGTAACAGCAACATATTTTGTTCCTCAATAGTTCTATGTGTTATGCATTTCAGAAAATGTAGCCACAATTTGTGAAAAAGTAAAAGAAATGATTGGTTTATTTCTTATAAATATCGTTTTGTTTGCATGCTTGTTTAAGCTTTAGATCTAATCAATCTCATGGAATATGTATAAAGAAAATATGTAAACCATGATGTTGAATTGGTCTGGCCTTGACTAGAACTTTCATTTTGTCATACCAGTTGGTTTATTTTATACATTCACTGCCAGGAATGAATCAAATAGTAAAGCTGTTTTGTGCTTTTAGTTGGTGGTAAATATTTTGTTGGCTGGTATGTTGTTGTGTCCTTTCACCACGTGCCCATGTGTATTTTGATAGTTCAGATGTCTGGAAGCCGTTTTTAAAGATAAAAATGACTTATGAACAATTTTGCCACATGTATTAAGTATTGAGAAAAGAAGTACTTATGTTTTGAATGATGTGTTATGTGAACAGATTTCAAAACAAGATGTTGCAAAAATCAGTACCTTGTGATAGAGAAATAGGATTAAACTTTTGAATCGGGCATGGTTAAGATGGCATAAAATAAGCCCCTGTTGTGAGAAGATGGAAAGGGTTCAAATAGTATGGGGGAATGGTATAGGTTTTAGTAGTAGTAGTACATGGCTAGCTTGCCAAAGTCTTCTGGATGTCCAAGTGTAAGATGCCTTCAAACCTTAAACCACAAGTGAAACATTTTTTTTTAGTTTGAAAACAATCAGTATGATTTCAAGTATTTTCCCTTCCAAATTCTATTGCAGTGGTATGCTGTTGGGAGATTATTTCACACAAATTGCTTTCTTGGCTCATTTGCTCATTCTTTTGATATGTATCCATTTATATTGTATTCTACGTTATGACATGATCAATGTCACTTATGGTATTGGAGACTTTATTTCAGTATTAAACTGTTTTTGTAAAATAAACTTCATCAAAATATTTTGTAGTATTTCACACACAAGTATATATTAATTCAGACTATTTGGCTTTTTTCAAGTATTTGTGCAATATATTTATGGCTGATAGACACATTTTTAATTTCCTCTACGGTGCAAATAGAACTTTGTATCTGATCATTAACCTCGCTGTAAATTCTTTTGGTCTTTTTGTTTGTATTGGTCAAATATAATGGAACCTGGGCAGAATGTCTTTGTGCTGGACAATGCCTAAAAGGGACAATCATCAACTGTATCTTTCAAAGTTTCACTTGTCCAGGAATGGTTAACTCTGATGATGTCAACAAACAAGATATCTAGATCTAGAGGTTCCACATCTATCAACTCTTATAAAGCAATGCTGCTCATAACTCATGATCATATGACATGTTATATATACTTCATTCAGCCAGGAGGGGTGATGGGGTAGTCAAGTTTGGTTGTCACACAGAAGACCTATGTTTGATTCCAGACATGGGTACTGTGTGAGACACCCTTTCTACATGTCCCCAGCTATTATTACTAACAGTGATGTAAGACCATACTTACGGACTCATTGAGCCAAGAACTTCACTTTAGGTATGTACTCTTATTGCTTCACTGTCTCGTTAAGGAGACGTTGACTTCAATACTTGACTGAGCAGAGGCATTTTAACCGTATATATATATACTGCATGATTCACATTTTCACCTTTAACGACACAAAAGAACCTGGCCCTGTGTATACCATAGTAAATTATTTAAATCCCAACTATTGCTTACTCTGGAATAAAATTCTTAATGTTTTCAAACATATTTGTTTTGTGTATTTGTTATGTTATGTAGTTCTATGGACATGTGGTTTCTTCTCTGCCCATCTGACATACAGTATATCTCAGAATTGGCTCCAAGTGTTCTTGTTTGTTTGAAATGACAGCGAGCAGGTTTTTTTTAGCAATTAACTTTGGTCAATAATGTTTTAAATACGACATCTGCAACGTTTTTTATTCAGTTTGTACTGGCTATACATAGCCGATCACACACATACAGTGACCTGACTGACGATTCTTATCAGGATGGTAACCACATAATCAAATTTCAATGATGCTGTTTATTGCTAACAAGATGAGTTTCTTGAAAAGTGCGCTTTAACATTTTTGTCATTACTCAAGTAATATTCCGTAAAATAAACAAGCATTTAAGTTTGATACACTATTTGTTGAAATTAAAGATATGAATTTTTGATTTACAACACAGTTGTTCATTATATTTAGGACACAACCAGTAAAGTTTGAATATAACATACATACTAAATTGAACAGAAAAGTTCTGGTTCTCAACAGACATACTAGGGCTGAGGCTGATTGCATATCAGTTGCGAGAATGTGGAGTAAATGTTCTTTACTCTGATAAGATGTGTATGCATAAACCGTCACACACTCAGAAACACACCTTGGAATGGATCCATGGGCCATGTGTTGTTGTTCTGTTTATAAAAATGTGTGAGTCAAATAAATTACATACTATTAGGCAACATCAACAACAACATTAATTCCTCAGTGCAATCACTTCCAAAACTGATCTAAATAGGACATTATCACAAGCAAAGAACTGGACTAGCTTTGTAGCTCATTGGATGTGAAGGTGTGAATGTCAAATGTGACATATAGATTGTGTCACATGGTATATATTTCATGAAGAAAAACTCATCATGCATATATCATTCTTTTTATCGATTTATTGATACAGGCAACAATAACATGTAAATGTAGCACTTTCAACATAACATCTAACAAAGAAATCAATGTTTCACAACCATTCGAAATTATCTGCGATTACTACACGGGCTTGAAGCACAGCAAATAAATTATCTGCGATTACTACACGGGCTTGAAGCACATCAAATCACTCATTAACGTGGCATTATGTCTTGTGTGTGCAGGTCTGATCCATTTGAGTGTTCCATCTTGGCGTTTGAGAGGATGGAATGTTGCTCCACGTTTGAGGGTGACTCGCCGAGGGCTAAATCGTCTGAAAACTGATCTGTTCATTTTGCCTCTCTTGAGAACGGACATGATAGTCCTGGCCTTCCGTTTCTCCTCTTCCGTCTTCTCCGACTCAAGTGTCTGCATCAGTCTTGTCTTGATTTGGTCTTTTCGTATGGGCCTGCAATCTACTATACTGGGGGTCTCCATCATCATTGCTGTTAGATATGACTGTAGATTGTGTAGAACTGATGTAGAATCCAGACAATCTGTTTCTTCCTTCTCCCTTCTAGAACAATCCAGTAGAGGCAGATAGCTCTGATTGAAGGAAACATCAAGGGAAAGACAGCTCTCGGTAAATTAGTAATCCACCAACTGTTTGTTTCTGACATTCAGAGCAGAGGAATCCATACTTTTCTGGTAAAAGTGTCTGTGTCTGACGATGTAACCCTTCCCTCCGTATTTAATCGGCCTCCCTCTGTATTTCGTTAGTTTACCTCAGGCTTTCAAATCGTCGGGAAGGGTTACATCGTCAGACACAGAGACCCATCTGTCAAATAATCCCGATTATCATCAGACAAATCTAATCAGCCAAGATCACTGAAGTGTCTAAAACACAAAACATAAGTAGGTTTCTGATATGATCTCATTGAGTCCTTTGTTTACACAAACAACCTTAAACTGAAGTCTTGTTTACTCTTCCAGCCAGCCATGTTGTTACAGTAGGACGCACAAGTAAAACCAATCAAGAGCATTTTCATTTCAAAACAACTGGCGAAGGACAGAAATTCGTGTATTGCAAAAAATATGTGTATTTCTCTTTCAATTCGAATGTTAGATTAAAAATATAACTTGATCATATGTAAGAAAGAAAATACTTTAATCAGATAAACAAGGTATGTATGTGCCTATAACGATGACAAATATCTATATGGTATAATTAAGTTCAAGTTCTTAGAAATTAAAAGTACCCGTGTCATTAAACAGATAAATCCTATACATGTACAATTATATTGTTATTAATTTGGCGCTGAAACAAAATACTGATCTATATATTGAAGCATTCTTTCTTTACAGTAAAACAATGCATGGCATGGATTTAAGTGCATGTTGACATTTGGACGTTTTGTTTCTAGATATTATTTCCATAACATCTACAGTAAACTGATCCTGACACCATTTATGCCTTGTTAGTCGATTCAAAACCGCTATCTTGCCTATCGTCGTTTCATCGTTGTCGATGTCTACACACTTCAGTTGACTCGGTGACTTCTTTTTTCATGCTACTAAATATTTACATATAATCGTCTGAAGAAAGGAAAGACTGTATCATCCCCCATTGTGTCGGAACTGTCTGTAACAACATGGTGGTGAGCTTTCCGTGATTGGCACCAATCTTGTCTTGTCTCAGTGTCACACATGGTCAGTGTCATCTGTATATCTGAATATAAACCATCTGCGAGTGGATATTCCTCAGTGTTCCATTATCTGTTTACCTCAGGATTAGTTCTAAAGATACTATCAAAAATACTATGACTTCCCCTTCCTGCAAACCCCTTAACAAGTCGCTGGTTGACTACTCATTCACTGAGAGTTGCCTTTCCTTTGAAGACTCTTTTGACCTGAGATATCCGCCCTTGGTAGACTACCCACTGAGCGACCATGACAGCAGCATGATAGATATTCCTGAAGGAGCGAAGAGAAGACAGATACCCCAGATGCATAAAGTCAAAAGAAGAACAATGGATGACAAAGATATTTCAAACCTTCTGAGAAAAAGCGTCCAGTTATGCAGGAGGTCGTTACGAAAAGTGGACATGGATACAGAAATATTTAGGCGTTTTAGTCCACGTCGACTAACCATCAAGAGTGTGAGCACATCCCGATCCCGCACTTGTTCAGTGCCGAGAAAGCCTAAACAGTGTGCCAAAGAACAACACAGTACTTTTTTCCAAAGCTGTCTCACTCAAAAACTGTCTTTCGACATGATGTTATGATATATTTTGTTGGGATTGCCTGTGGTGTCAATGTCAGTTGTAACACACCATTGTTATGTCATTTTCCTGAGTGCTATGCCGTTTGTTATTGAATAAACCTCCTTGCCATTACGAGTCGTGTTAGTTCTGATGGATGCATTTTTCACATGTGAGAAGGAAAGAACAATGAATAAATGTTAGAAGATGTACAGATCGAAAATACTGAAATGAGAGAGTAAAGAATCACAGTCTCGTTTGGGCCTTATTCCCTCTGAACTATGTTCAAGATAGACTACTATCGTTTAGGATTTGTCCATAAGAACCTGACAATATATTAAAAATGCCATACTAAATTCCCTTTTGAAGTGAGCTTGACTGTATGCTTAACGATCTCTTTAGTTTGTGAGCCATATTGTTTTGTAGTATTTTGTTTTATGAAAATGTACGTTACACCACAATTGTTCAGTATATTTGGTACACATCCAGTAAAGTGATAATATAATATACATAGTAAATTGGACAGAAAGTTCTTGTTTTGAACAGACACAGTATGGCTGTGGTTGATTGCGTATCAGTTCCTCGAACGTATAGTAAATGTTCTTTACTCTGCTTCGATGTGTATGCATAAACCGTCACACAGTCAGAAACACAAAATGGATTGGATCCATGGGCCTTGTGGGTTATTCTGTTTATAAAAAACGTGTATACGGCGAATAAATTACATACTATTGGGCTTTGTTTGTCAAAGTGTGTAAATGCAACGTTGTTATGCATGTATACAGACCACATTGTGGTTATATTTACCATCTTGCTACAATATTGTGCTGGCTAACGTTTCGTCTTGTGTGTGTGTGTGTGTTTGTGTATTTTGGTGATTTTCCATAAGCTTGGACACTGCTACTTGTCTATGTCAAACTGTCAATATTAACTACAATATTAATTGCTCAGTGCAATCACTTCCAATACTGATCTAAATAGGACATTATCACAAGAAAAGAACTGGACTAGCTTTGTAGCTCATTGGATGTGAAGGTGTGAATGTCAAATGTGACATAGATTGTGTCACATGGTATATATTTCATGAAGAAAAACTCATCATGCATATATCATTCTTTTTATCGATTTATTGATACAGGCAACAATAACATGTAAATGTAGCACTTTCAACATAACATCTAACAAAGAAATCAATGTTTCACAACCATTCGAAATTATCTGCGATTACTACACGGGCTTGAAGCACAGCAAATAAATTATCTGCGATTACTACACGGGCTTGAAGCACATCAAATCACTCATTAACGTGGCATTATGTCTTGTGTGTGCAGGTCTGATCCATTTGAGTGTTCCATCTTGGCGTTTGAGAGGATGGAATGTTGCTCCACGTTTGAGGGTGACTCGCCGAGGGCTAAATCGTCTGAAAACTGATCTGTTCATTTTGCCTCTCTTGAGAACGGACATGATAGTCCTGGCCTTCCGTTTCTCCTCTTCCGTCTTCTCCGACTCAAGTGTCTGCATCAGTCTTGTCTTGATTTGGTCTTTTCGTATGGGACTGCAATCTACTATGCTGGGGGTTTCCATCATCATTGCTGTTAGATATGACTGTAGATTGTGTAGAACTGATGTAGAATCCAGACAATCTGTTTCTTCCTTCTCCCTTCTAGAACAATCCAGTAGAGGCAGATAGCTCTGATTGAAGGAAACATCAAGGGAAAGACAACTCTCAGTAAATGAGTAATCCACCAACTGTTTGTTTCTGACATTCAGAGCAGAGGAATCCATACTTTTCTGGTAATAGTAGACGATTTGAAAGCCTGAGGTAAACTAACTAAATACAGAGGGAGGCCGATT